ATGGGCCTTTGTTGTTAACCGGCAGAATTAGGTACAAATAGGGAAAGCCCATTCACAAAGGTTGAAGTACGTTTTTGATTAATGGCACAATGGCGATGTGCAAGTGGCTTGGGTGACTGGCACGCGTCTTTGCAACACTGCGATGACAGGCCTAACCGCAGCGCGAGATTAACTTGACTGTGCGCCGGCAAACCGATTAGCACCTCCATCTGAATACATCTACGTCGGCAACATGAAACTACTCACGCAAGACGGACACCTGCTGATTACTAATACATTGTACTGCTTTCAAATACCTTCGGTCGAACGAAAAAAAGCCGTGCGCCAGGATTCACCTTTCGTTATAAATGGGTCGCTGACAATGCAATTTCGTACTGTCCGTTTTCGTCTTAAGCGAAATTTTCCCCATAGACATGTGCACAATTTTGCCGGGACCGAAGGTATTTGTTTGTAATAACCGGAATTTCGTTCTAGCCGTTTTCGCTATAACGGGAGCCGACTGTACATTTGTACATGTACGTTGATATATAAATGTATTGCATCTCCAAATAGCAGAACAGATGTCAAGGATGTTATCAGATAGTGACACAACAGCCCACGATCTATTTACACCTGAAAGTGTGGTCAAGTTCAGCATTACAACAAAGAGTTTCATCAGGTCATCAGCCTGACATGCAAATATGGTTTCACATCATAACAAGACCAACACAGTATTTGAGGATGTAAGTGCATCATGCTAAACCACTGTAAAATGTCACAACATAATAACAAGTCAATAGACTCTGGCAGGTAACTATTAATTATTCATGAATAGCATAGCTCTTTTTAAAAAAATTAATTAATATATTTGAAGTGCACTTTTTGTCTATCTACAAAAGCCATGTTATTTCTCGAGGGAGCTGTTTTTATGTCACTTTAGGCTAACACTCTAAAGTTTTAAGGATTTTCATTGATATACGAACCCAATATGTATCTTAGTAAACTTCCATTTTTTGCATAAAGTAAGCTTATTGGCTTGCAGAGTCAGGTACTAAATCAACAAAGAAACACCAACAAACTGCAGGATGCCCATCGCACAGACTAGAGAGATGGGTCAGTGTCATAAAACAAAACATGATTTAGCTGATTTGCTTTTTAATTGTGACTTATTGGCACCTGGACACTTGTCAAAGGGTGCTAACCATCAGCAAAGGGGAAATGCAATATCTAAAATCGGACATTAACCCTAACTCCTGGGGCTCTTTTACTAAGAAGTATCCTGAATCCGCCAAAATCCACCAGTTTTGTCATGCAAAAAATGCTGGTATCCTGAGTCCATCAGAATCCCCCAGTGTAGATACTGGAGGTATCCTGAATCCGCCAAAGTCCACCAGCAAAAGCCTTGATGGATTCTGGCGGATTCAGGATACCATGGTGGCATAAAAAATACAGCATGTTTTTCCATAGATTCTTCAAAATCCATCACCTCAATTTCTGGTGGATTTTGACGGATTCAGGATACCATGCTCGCATGAAAATTGTGATGTGTTGTTGCATAGGATCCATCAAACTACACCAATGCATGGCGATCCCAGCATTGCATTGCTTGGATGGGTTATTTACATAATCCATTGCTTATATGCTGAGGCCTATATAGCCCCAGTCACATGTAGCTCCCATCCACCCAGTACATGTGTGTACTGCATGTTTGTACAGTATGTGACAGACTTGGCGGGGCTAGTGCCAGCAGTATTTACTGGACCACAAACATTGCAAAAGAGTTTAACTGTTGAGATCCTGAATCCATCAAAGTCTCCCAACAGCTCAAAATAGAGGTATCCTGAATCCATCAAAATCCGCCAGTTTCGCTAGGCTTCCAATTCTGAATCCATCAAAATCCCCCAGTTTGTTCAATATGGAGACCTGTATCCTGAATCCGCCGAAATCCCCCAAAACAGGGGGATGGATTTTGATGGATTCAGGTACGTTAGGGTTAAACAACACATGTGGGGAAAAAGCAAAATGGCTCCATGTACATGTAGCTGTAAAGAGGCCCAGCTTAACCCTAACCGCCCTGAATCCTCCAAAATCCTTTTTGCAAATTGGAGGAATTTGCAGGATTGAGGTTACATGGCAAAAGTGCGTTGCTGATTTCGGAGTACGCACGTGTCAAGGTCTTGGGCCAGACCTTGTGTTGTTTATGCTCAGCCGTGCATAAATTTAGTCCTTGATTATACTTGACATCCTCCGCACTGCTCCAGGATGTCACTGCCTCTGCCTCAGCCTATTGACAGACATAGCCGGAGGATTTTGCAGGATTCAGGCAGTGGTCATCCCTCCATGGACCATATTCAAGAAATAACGGAGGAATTTGCAGGATTGAGGCTATATGCTATTTTTCCATGAGGCCAATTGGAGGATTTTGCAGGATTGAGGCTACATCCTAGCAAAAAGGCCTAGGGAGTTAGGGTTAAATAATGAACTATTCATGCTTGTATGCAAACATTTTGTGAAAAATATAAGATTCATAAAGACTTTTCACATCCCTGTTTAAAGAGTGGAAGGTGCTGACCGGGTTTGAATAAACCACACATCTTCTGATTTCCCTGAGTCCAAGAAGCAAGAGGGAGTGGACACAGATGGACAAAATACACAAAGGTCATACATGAGTTACTACATGTACTTTGTTTGGGTATTATTGAACTTTTGCAAGAACTCCTTAACATCAGGAAATGGTCAATGCCTTTCCGAAACAGAATGTTATTATGAAAAATGTAAAATTCCACTGGGAACTGATTCACTGCGAGTTCCACTTTCAATATATACGTTAATCTTAACACAATCTTCAGCTTGAATACTGTAACCATACATGTACATGTACGTGCTGCTTTTGTTTTTTAGGAACACCCGAAACTGGAACTACTGAGTGACAAGTTTGTATCAGCTGATATTTGAAAGATTTTTGTACACACCATGAATTGTGCTTGTACAAGGTTGGGAATTTTACATGTATTTCTGTAGTTTAACTTGGGTTTGTCATTTATTAAACTGTCAAATACTTACAGGTTATAAACCATGTACACAAATTAGTATTGAGTGAATAGCTGTAATTCTTTTTAATACCAAAAAACAACACATGGTACACTTATTGATGGAATAAAAACAATTGTCCTATCGCCGTTTCGGAGATAGCCTTGCGACTTCTATGAATTTTGTACGTTAAGTATTGTTTGTCTCAGATTTTGCGCGTTCCGCGTCCATTTGTATATCATGTAATTGGACAATATTTCACAAGCTGCGTTGACGCAATTCTACCGCGATAAGTTAATTGAGATCCATGACCAACCAAAGTCTTTTTCATCATCTTGTGCAGCAATCTTTTTCATTGTTTTTACGACTACGTTCCTGAACATTTACACAGTATACACATACACAGAAAAAAAAATCACGTTTTGTGAATTAACTTCCAGAAAACTTCATTTTAGATCTTTTCAAACAACTTTCTATTTTGTTTCAGGACTTTGAACATCTTCATTGTTACCATAGTGCTCAGCCTGGTGCTTTCCACTGGATCACTGAGATCCTTCTATTATCATTGTGGGTAATGCCTTTATACCAACAGGAATCAGTCTGATTCTACTGATACAAAAGTAGCCTTGGTCAAGGGGTTCGTCGATAGTGTCCGTAATGGTACCAGGTCCTTAACATAAACACGAGCCATGCGCTATGCGAAGAACGACCTCACGTGACAAGCAAATTAGTTGGAGAATGAGGAATGTCTTTGACAACAGATCATGTTGGCTTGTCTGTTTCTTCATTTTGTCGCTGGATTTCCAGCAACGACCTCGCATGCGAATACAGTTTATTATCATTCAGTACTTGGTCATGGGCAGGGCTGGTATACGGAGTGTTCAATCACCAACTACTCAATTTGACCTTATAACGTCATCAAATGCAACGTTATGTTCAATATCTTATCTATATTTGTCGTCAAAATTGGCTGTCTCTCCACTCATTGACTGCTACTGAAGTAGCATGCCTGACCAAAGAGACGCCTCCATCCACCAATGAGAAAACTACTTTTAGTTTCAGAGGTCAGCTTGGCTTATTAGCATAATGAGCACCACCCCAAACCTTACACAATCCGCTGTCCTGATGCGTTCATCCTTCACCAACTGATTTGCATATTGTAGCCACGTGAGGATGCCATTTGCGCTTTGTAGAGTGCATAGTGCACGGCTAGTGTTCATCTAAGCTAGTTTTTAGATACCATTACGGACACTATCGACCAACACCTTGAGCAAGGCTAATGCAAAAGGGAGTACTGAATGAAAAGAGTTACATTCTCCAACAATCATTTTGTGAAAAGTAAAACTTTATCAGTAAACTTTTATCAGCATTTTTCGTATCCAAAGGTTGTTGAATAGCATTTTTCTTGAGAGCAATGGGCAATATGAATGTACAGAGGAACGCCGCTATAACAAACATCATGGGATCCAAAGAAAGTGTTCGTAATAACGATCGTTCGATATAGCGATTTTGAACCGCCGGTACTCTCTTTTGACCAATAGTGAAGTCACTGAACTGGCATTTCTCACATCCCGCGGCCCAACGAGGAGTTGTCACAAACGTTTAGCAACGGATGGTTTTCCCTTTTATTCCTTTGGGAAATAATAGCCATCAATCGCTCTTCAACATTCAAACACGATGTAACCATGGGTGGTTTGATGTTCGGGAATTAAAAGTGGCCCAACAGTGTTTAATACGTATACACCCGGTAGGTTTTTTTGTTCATCTGTTGACTTTTGTTAACAATGATGTTCGGTACATTTTGTACATTAAAACCGGGAGCCCAGGATGATGTTCGGGTATAGCCGAATGTTCGGTATAGCGGTGTTCGGTATCGCGGCGTTCCACTGTATACCCTGTACAAAACTTGACTAGGCATGGCAATTTAGGGTGGTAATAGGGCTGAAGGGAGTTTATAAATTGAAGAGAATTGCTTATTTGCTAATGATTACCTGATCAATCACGCTATCATCACCCACTGCCCAGCGTTGTTTGTTACCTGGTTGTCCTCCATCAGCCCCCATATCATTACCAGGACGTTGGTAGAAATACCCCACAGCTGCATCATCTCGGGCTCGCTGGGGTGCTACCGGACCTCCTTGCTGCTGGGCTCGATGGACACCTGAACTTTGCTGGGCAATGCGCGAGTCATCCCATGCATTGTCACTCATTTCTGCACTGGAGCTCATGGGGTCGACTCCGTTCGTTTCTGGACGAGGATCACGCATTCCATGAACTGCAATTATTAGACCAAAAAGTCTCAAAAGTCAAAAATATGGCCAAACAAACCACAAAGGGAAAATGGCTAGGTGCATTATAATACTGTTTTCAAAGTAAAACAAACAAAAAATTGACTGGAGCGGGATTTGACCAACAAACTGAGCTATCCAGCCCTATGTTGGCAGTTCCCCAATTTGTCAATGTCTTTGTTCAAGGGACACTAGTCAGAAGCAATTGATCAGTGCCATGTGGCCAGGGACCAAACCCAAAGTCACGATGCTAGCAAAATAAGCAAACCTGGGAAAAAGTAAATGGGGTTATTTAATTATTCTCATTGGATAGCTACATGTACATGTACAACAATGGTGATTTAAATTCCATGTTTGCTATTTTCCTCCCATGTCACAACCAGTCCATGGGTGAGTTCCAATCAAGGAACGTTAAGTTTAACGTTAGCTAGCCTGGAAGCATGCCAACCCAAAGTGGAACGAAAATGCCATCGACAATCTGTTGTTAAAATGGCAGCACCCAGTGCTACAAGTGTCGCAGTGCTACAAGTGAGGGGATGGATGCTTTTCAAATCTTCAAAAATTCATTGTCTAGAAGTGAAAATTCACTTATGAATTATTAGGGAGTTTTTGTGGGAAGAAAATGGCAAATTTTAGCTCTGAGACCCAACTGTGTGTGAGTCAGTAATCTTGTATAACATAACAACTACCTAAGTTCAATTGCTTTCATCATGGCATTGCAAAAACACCACTGCGAATCTATATCACATTTATAACTGTCCTTCCAACAAGAGCGCTTTGGTAGCTTGATTGGTTTAACGCTTGACTACCATACCAAAGGTCCCAGGATCAAATCCGGTCGGTGCAATTTCTGTTCTTTCGATAGTTTTCTTTACTTCTCTGTTTTCTAATCAAATTGTACTTTTATTGAAGTAGGCCTAGATTTTCTGAGTAATCCGTGGCTTTGGAGGATTTTTTTTAAAGGGAAATAGAGTGCGAGAACCAATCGGTTGATAGTCTGGTTCCAAGAGCCAATGATCCTGACGTTGACTATTGTCAGGTCAGGGAACCAGACAGTCAACTACCGCAAACGATAACCATTACTCAAGCCAGAATATTACAGCTAGCCCCATTCTATGGCCAAGCACTGGAGTCAACTCCGTGCTCAAGGCCACACCCACATGAGCTCAAAAAGTTGGGGAATTTGAGGTTTTTCATGGGAATCAGTCGGCCTGAAACTCAACATTATTTTTAACAAGGTTGGATTTTGGAAATGTTTCTCAGCCCCAGATTCATGTCTTTTCAACATGTTCAACATTTGTGCAATAACTGACCTTCATTGAGACATGGACATGATAGAGCTCCATTTTCCAAATTCAAAACCATCTCAGTCTACCCACAGAGCTAGGATAGTCATCGGTCTTACGCGCAATTCAACCTTGGCATGGAAAAAAATGTTTCAACCTGATGACGCCACTTTACATCTCAACAAAGGTCAGCCAAAAAAAAATTCTGTACTGGGCCACCACTTTTTTCAATTAATTTTCAAGTGCCAAAAAGTTCTATGGTTATTCCCTCCACTTTCCCTCCTCTACCTCTCACCCTCTTCTTTCACTTACTTCATCGAGATTCGAACCTCGGACTCTTGTTTGAAACACAAGACTTTTACCACTGGTACTAGGCCGTACACGATCACTGTTGCAATATTCAATCTTTGGACGTATTTAAAGTATCCATTGAAATAAGACTAATGAATAATAAATACACTAAATATTCATGAGAGATTAAATATTCATAATGACATATTGAACTATCACTGGCCGGCTCATGCGTTGTCGATGTCATGTGTAACATACCGCTAGACTTCCAGACACTTCAATCACTATGGCCGGTGCCTCCAACCATAGTAGAGCAAGGATAGAACAGATGCTCCAACTTAGTTCTGCACGACGTGTGCATCCAAAAGGTGCTCTAAAATATCTTTTTTTTCCCAGAGCTTCCTTGATTCGTCTTGGGTGAAATCACAAGGCGAGATGAAAATGTATGTATGTGGCGGCAGGTAAGTGGTGGCCCAGTCATGCCAGTACGGAATTGTTTCCCACTGCAAATTCTAATACTGACATGACAGATTAAACCAAACATGCCAAATCAATTGACACAAAATGAGGCGAGTTTAACCCTGCTATGCCCAGTGCAGTTGGCAAAGAGAATTATCAGACATGTCAGACCTTTCAAAACATTTTAAATTTGCCTGACTAAAAAAAAAAGGGTTTTGAAAGGTGAAATAGTGCTGGAACTTTGGGACTTTTCGAAAGGTTTCGAAAGGTGAAGCAACTCTGTGGGCAAATTCAGTAAGATGCATTTCAATACCTTTCGAAAGGCATTGAGGGAAAATTCGGCTAACCGATCACCACTTACCTGCCGCCAAACATCCAAATTTTCACCTCACCTTGTGATTTCAACCAAGAGGAATCCAGGAAACAGTGGACATGCGAAAAAAATTTAGTAAAAATGTGTTTTTAGAGCACATTTTGCATGCACATGTAGTGCAGCTCTGAGTTGAAGCAGCCGGTCAAAACTGATTGAAGTGTCTGGAACAGCGGTACGTTATACGCATGACATCGATAACCATGATGTCGCATGAGCCGGCCAATGATAGTGCAATACGTCACTATGAATATTTATTTTCTCATGAATATTTAGTTTATTTCAATGGATACTTCAAATACGTCCAAAGATTGATCACTGCAACAGCGATCGTGCGCGGCCTAGCGGTTAAGAGTCTCGTGTATCAAGCAAGCGTCCGAGGTTCGAATCTCGATGAAGTGAGTGACTGATTGATAAATAGAAATTAAGGAAAGGAGAGGGTGAGAGTAGAGGAGGGAAAGTGGAGGGAATAACCATAAAAGATGTAACTTTTGGCGCTAGAAAATTGATTGAAAAAAGTGGTGATTGGGTAGCCGAATTTTTCCGGAATTGAAAGGTGTGATAGTGCAGTAACAATAAATTCTGGAGGATTTTAAAAGGTCCAGCATTTTTTTTCCTCCAATTTTGCCAGCACCCAGATTTTGAGGTGTTTTGAATGGTCTAAGTTCAGGAGTTAAGGTAGGCCTAGTACCTTTAGGAGTTGACTGACAATTTAAAAATAAGAAGTACACTTTGCGTTATGTTTAAAATTTTCAGATTGTTTTTAACAACGGGGGTGGGTGTACAATCATGGAGGAATACAACTATGGAAAAACAACAATGGACTATACACGACGCATGCAAACCACACGTAATCAGCGACAGGAACACGGCGCGAATGACCCACCAGTTGCGACCCCAAGTAAATCACTAAGAATTCCATTGATTTCGCTCAGCATACTTGTTTCGGAGCATCAGCTATTAGAGCTCAATTTCTGTCGAGTTGGAGACAAATAGTGGAATTCTTACCGGGATGACGACTGATTAAAAAGACCCCATTAGTGACTCATCCCGCTCGTCGCGTACGACATCTTGAATCGCAAAGCATCATGGGATTCTTCAATGTGCAGCATGTATGACGTCACCGAAACTGGAATGCGTACTTTTTATTCGATGATATCGCGAGGCTTTTCTCATTCCATGGAGCTAGGAACACCCTCCATGCTCATTCCAAAAACAAAACAAAAAAAAAAAAAAGAAAGAAAGAAAGAAAGGAAGAAAGGAAGAAAGAAGCGGTCTAATAAATGAACAAGAAACAAAAAAACCAACACAAAACAGATATCGGAGACAAAATCACTGGCTACCGATAATACAAAAAAACCTTCGTTTCGCGTTGTACAGGTTTTTTAGCAGTGGAGCCTGATGAATAGAGAGGAGCGGGAGAGTTGTTAGGAGCGACGCTTATTACAAACCTTCCATTTTGGCATTTCATCGTATTTCAGCAAGACAACAAATAAATAATCAGGTTTTTTTTTTAAATTACCCGCAAATGCAGCCGTGTGGTTGCGAAGGCCAAAGCGTCCCAGTTGTTAAACAAAGCGTCACCGACACCATACCACGACTTTTGGAAATAAGGCGATGGTTCGCCTTTTCCAATGACAATGGACTGAGACCGGTCTGTAAGGTACGTCTTGAACCAGTTCAGCGCTTTGTCACAAATACCAAATCTCTCACTCAGGCGTTGTATCAAGATATCGTGGCTGATGGTATCTAATGCCGCCGCGTAATCCAAGAGCACCAAGATGGCCTCCTGTCCCCCGTCTAGAGCCATAAGAAGATCATTATACACTCTAAGCAACGCTGTTTCAGTTTCACAGCTGTGATGAGCCCCGTAAGTTGACTGTGTAGTTGCATGCAACATGTTATGAGATAGATGATCCTGGATTTGCAGGGCCACCACCCGTTCAATTGTCTTTCCTAAGAACTTCAGATTAGCTATTGGTCTATAGCTTTGAAGCTTTTATCATCAAGTTTGGGATTTTTCAATAGCGGACAAATATGCGAGTGTTTCAAGGAAAGTAACCCTTTTCCAATGACATGTTAATTATGCGAGTCATTATTGGAGCAAGTTCATGGGCACAAAGCTTTACCAGGGAGGTCGGAACAGGATCAAGACTGCAAGTTGTTGATTTTGATTTAGCAATCAGTCTCATGACGTTACCTTTAGAAATCAAAAACACTTGAAGATGAGTTATTGAATAATAATAATAATAATAATTTAGTAATAAATTTGGTGAAAGGATAAAAAAATTACAAGATATCTTTAGAGGGGCCTATCAGTGAGAAGTGAGAAGTCCCCCCCCCCCCGATATATTTTTATTTCGGGCGGGAACGATAATGGTGAAGCCCCCGCGCCCACCCATCCCACCTCATCCCCACCCCCAACCCCACAACAAACTTAATTAAAGTCCACATAAATTTTATGAAAAACAAAGCCCACCTTAATCTTCAGATTTAATTCCCACCGCGTGATAGCGCTAAGGTGTTGCTCTTTACATTTTATTACGTAAATGGAATATCGTTGAATGGCTGCTATTCGAGCATTATCTTTCAGTTGGAGTATTACATAATATAAACCAACAGTATCACGCTGGATAATCTCATATCAATATTGTATGGCTGCGTTCCGCTCGCCGCCATGTCGTACCAGGCTTTGTGCTCTTATTCCTCCATGGTGAAACATATTTTGTTTTCAATATAAGTTAGCTGGAACAATAGTTTAGTTACTTGTCTGTGATAAACTCCTGCCTGTACTATATGAGACCTATCTTCAGTATGTTCTCTACAATTGTAGCCGAGTTGATTGATTCAGCATTGTCATGGTCGTTTCTTCTTCCCCTGTTACTGCTTCTGATCCTCATCCGTTATGTACGCGCTACGTCCAGATTGATCAGCAAATCAGGTCAGATTGATATTTTCGATTGATTGACAACAGTTTCATCCAATTATGATTTGTATCGTTTTATCCAATTATAATTTTATTGTTGCGGGGACATGCACGCCCTTACTGCGAGGATCAATGTAATAGCGGTGGCGATTTCTTGTCAACACGTGGCATGGATGAGGGGTAAGCAGCATGCATGAGGTGGGAGGGGCGGAGTGCGGTGTGGTGCGGAGTAGCCAGGATTTTTCCAGTGAGGTCGGGGGGGGGCGCACCAGCATTTTAGCGGGGGGGGGGGGGGGGGGGGGGCACTTATAGGCGGATCCACAACGAATTCTCCCAAATTCTCAGAGGCCGACTGGCCAGCCAGTTGCTACCAACCTAGTACAATGATCCCGATACAGCAATAGCAACAAGTGGGTGGTGTTGGGTTTTTTCCCAGCGTGTATTACGTATTTTAACGTTCAATGTTAACTAGGACTATAACCTCCACTCCACCCCCCTTTCTTTTTGTTGAAATGTAATGTATATCAGCTCCATGGTGTAATCAATAGTAAATCGACGATAATTCACAACAGGTTACACATTCCTACTGCTCGAAAGTTACTTTTTTTCATTGTCTATTTTCTAGATTTAAGTAAAGTTACTAAAACTGCTTCAAGAAAAAGGGATTTTATTAGTGTTAGTATATGCGTGGTGGTACCCAGAAGGGTGCACACCGGTAAATAGGCCTAAATCCATCTGCCGAGCTCATGAATAAAAGTTATACCCTCAAAATATTCTATGTTAGAGTTCTGAGCGCCGTAAAGTTAAGGGAATTGAAGAGATATGGTAATGAACCTCTGGCCTGGACTTGGGGCTTCCAATTCTGAACATGCTTTTGGGCTCGAAAGTTGCGCTATTTTGCCATGTTGTGGAGGGATCGTTTTTCAAGATGGCTACTTTTCCGCCTTGGGGAAAATAGGGGTCGTCTTCTTTGGGTGAGAATATCTCGATAAGTCAATGGTCAACCCACAAAAAAATGAAAAGAAAACGAAAAATGACATGTTGATCATCATTTTTCTGTGCAGCTTGAATACCTGTGAGAGTTTTGAGTATTTTAAAAAGAATTTTGAAGTATGGGCACATTTAGCACTAGTGTCTATGGGAATTTACTTGCAGGGTTGCACCCAGAAAATGTCGTTACAGCGCCCTCATCCTATAATTATGTGGCGCTATTCGTGCCGACAGGCAGATTGTTTCCCGCCAGGTTCCCCCCCCCCCCCCCCCCCCCCCAGGGTGCAGTGCACTACTTCAAGTGAGAATTTCTATGCGAGCTCGTTAGCATAAAACGACCCCCTCCCCCACAATTTCTTTGAAAACGGAGACCGTTTGGCTCAAAAACGGTGGAATTGTGTAAATATAGCCAAGGATCAACTCCCTGGTTTTGGGGCTTTCCATCTGAGGGCAGGCTTGATAAAATTAACGGTTGACAAATGGGTCCTATTTGCCCGAGCTGAGAAAGTCGGAGGACCATGTAAAATGGCTACATGCTGGCTTGGGAACTATCACTTTTCGGGGGGTGATTTTGTTTTAGTGTGAATATTTAAAAATGTAATTGGCTAATCTACCCAAACTTAAAAAGACATGAACAGATGAAGGACACGACAATAATTACATTTTTGTTTGAGGAACCCCAGTGATGTCGGCTTGCATGTTATTTGGCCCTGAACTTAGTTGACTGTTTTCATGGAAAATTTCTCTTTTTGTGTTGCCAAAACTCCTTTAAGTGGCAATTTTTATCCAGTTCACCAGGCATTAAGGACTTCTGCCGAGTTGTATAAAAAGGACGACTAAAAAATGTTGTGTCTTTCGGGACATTTAACGATTTTTAATAAATATGCACGTTTTTTTGCAAATTTTTCCTCACCGTGTCTGCTAAAAAGGTACCGTCTATATTTTAAAATAAATCATTAATGGTGCTCTGTCCATGAAAGTTCCACTGTCTGGTTCCCCTTCAACAGCTGCAAACACAAAATGAAGTCGAAGGGCGATATTTCCACCGCGAAATCGTAAAAAGTGTTATCAAAATAAGGACAGCGCGTAAGAAAAAATAAATCGGCACACCGTGTAAAGCGAGTGGCGCCCCCAATCGCCAATCAGTAGACTTGTCACAGTGCTTTTTGTTCTCCTTTTGGGGAAGGGCAGGGTTTTAAGAAATCATCATGCAGGGGTATAGTCTTCAATCAACTTGAACGTTACAGGGAAAATATCAGACTTTATTCAGGGGATGTTTTGGTAAAACATTAACTATAAAAAAGTTGAGATCTTTATAAAAACCACTTCCCGCATACCGCGATAAGGGAGTCCACCTCCGTTCGCACACTCCGAGCAAGTCTATTTTCACAGGCATCTTCCACAAAATAAACCACACCAACGTCGGCTATTCCTTCCTCCATGGTTTATATCAATTTGAAAAGGAAGAGTTATAGCCTACAACCTAAAAAGACAGGAAAATTCAGGAAGGTTAGTAGGCAGTCTGTATTCCGAACGAGAAACGTGATAAGTACCGCGATAATACGGCGTTCCATCCTACATGTATACATGATCCTAGCGTTATGTTTATGCATAACACTAGGAAAATAGCAAAACTGGCAATTTTTTTCAGATACGAAAAGGTTTATAATATATTCAATATGGAAGTATTATAGTATTATACTAATACAGTATGAAGTACAGACCTTTAATGCACCAAATGATGAAAAGTTGAATAGTAAAATACTGACAACTCATGTTTTTCCAGATAATTTTTGGAGGTCTGTTTTTGTTAACTCGCACTGAATTGAAGCACACTCAAAATGACTGTCGAGTGTAAACACATGACATGTCACAGGTCAATGGCTAGCCCCATTATGTGGCCTATTTACTGGACTGCCTCCGTAAACATAGGCCACACGTCCACCTGTACAAAAATCGTGTCGACTTTGCCAAATTTTGATTTTCACATTTAGGCTTAGTTTGTAGGGTTTTTTTGCTTTAGAAGCATACTCACCCTCTTTATAGGCTAATCAGAAAGTGCTGCCTTTTTCAGATGTATATTTTTCATGAAATTTCCAGATTCATTTTTACACGTTTGTGTATCAAAATTTCAACATGAAATTTCACAAAAATTAGACATCTGAAAAAGGCAGCACTTTCTGACTAGCCTATAAAGTGGGTGAGTATGCTTCTAAAGCAAAAAAATCCTACAAACTAAGCCTAAATGTGAAAATCAAAATTTGGCAAAGTCGACACGTTTTTTGTACATGTGGACGTGTGGCCTATGTTTACGGAGGCAGTCCAGTAAATAGGCCACATAATGGGGCTAGTCAATGGCATGCAAGGAATTTTGCATTAATGCACCTATCAAATGTCCCCCCCCCCCCCCTTCGCGCAGCCCCAGGTCCGATGTCGGGATTTGGTCACATTTTTTATGCCCCAGGGTGGGGATTTTGGTTACTCAAATTACATTGAACATTGGCGTGCTACTAGCTGGAGTTACCCAGCCCTAAGTTTTATCATTGGGTTGTCATGTAGGGCTGGAGCTAATTTTTTACGTAACCGAGCAGCGTATTACCTACTCCTAGAACTATGAGGCTCCACGTACGTATTACCTACATGACAACCCAATGATAAAATTCAGGGCTGGGTAACTCCAGCTACATTTACTAGTGCGCCCCACGTATGTCGGGGCATGGTCGGGGATTGCCACTTAAATTTTGCCCGAGGGGTGGGGATTTTGTCACTTCAAAAGTGACAATCCCCACGTCTTGGGTGGGGTAGCCCGAGGGAGGGGGGGGGGGGGGGGGGGGGGGGGGGGGGGGGGGAGGGAGGGGGGGGGGGGGGGGGTAAACAACTGATAGGCGCATAAATTCAAAATTATTGCTATTCAATATGTGACCTGCCATAGCACAATGAGGAATAACCCCCACCTTTGACTTTTCACGTTGTGTATCCTCGAGTCACCATAATTGACGCAGATAACGCTTGCAACGTGTGCACGTTCTCCATTGAATGCGAGTGCGTCAAAACATATCCTCGTCATTTTAGGGGGTCTGACGATACATCATGTTTAAGCGCAAATCATTGGCTTTCCAATGATACCAAATTTATTTCTGTGGCTTTATTTATTTGAAAGATAGTTCGAGTAACTAGGACTCTACGAATAGCCTTTTTTACATTTGGACATGGTCGGGCGATAGTAGAGTCCTAGGTACAAAGCCGTATTGCATTAATTACGTCAGGTTGTAACATTCTTTCCAAAAGGGCCTCCCACTTTCTTTTTTTCAAAAAGGCAGGACGGTAAACATTTTTTTTTATTTCACCTTTAAGCCTACAGTACAGAACGTTAGCAACCGCCCTTTTGTTTGTTCGTTTTTCCTCCAAAATGGCCGTCCAACCGGCTATTTTTCAAGTTGGCTGCCAGGGTTTTTTTTAATTTAAATGGCCGCCATTGGACTCCATTGACAATAACAGCTTTTTTATGGGTTAGATGCAACAGGTAAAGAGGCCTAAATGATGTCACTGTTGAAATATAATGTATCATTTTTTTGGTAAAAAAAAAAGAAGAAAGAGTCCAAGTGGCGCCCATTTAAAAAAAAATGGTGGCCCTCTTGAAAAATAGCCTGGTCGGTCATTTGAAAAACAAAGAAGAAAAAAAGGCCGCCTCCTTCCTTTTATTAAAAAAGGCAGTACACTCTCCATCATCATCAGACGTCGTAGTACTGCCCCTTGACGCAACAACCTTCCATCAAGCACTGCCGATGCAAGACCACCCTTTCGTACTGCATGACCAAGCCAAGAAGCTTTCTGTTCTCAGATTGTGTCGGCAGTGAGACACCATCTGTCGCCAATCAGTGTTTTGAGACTCTCATTTGAGACAAAGTCTGACCAGCGGATTCCAAGTGGCCGCCGCCAGACGTGGTATCTTCCAAAGCTGTCTATGCGCTGGACATCTGTAGCTTGGAGTGTAAGCGTGTTGGCACAGTATAAAACATGAGATATAATCAATGCCTCTCTGAGCTTCATTTTCGTCTCCACAGAAACACGTGAGGATTGGAGACCTGTACATTTTGCATTTCCTCAAGGTGGCTTTTCCCATGCCAATACGCATTCGTACTTCGAGGCTGTCATCGAGATTGGCATTGATGGTAACACCCAGGTGCTTGAATGTGTTAACGCGGGGGATAGGTGCGTCTCTGTAGGAGATGTTGTCATTGCTTCCATCCACGCTCGCTATAACCATATGTTCTGTCTTCCCTGGATGAATGGCAAGTCCATTCTCATTGGAGATTTCATCCAGTATTTGCAGGAACTCTTCGGCATCTGCGCAACTCAGTGAGAACTAGATCGTCGGCATACCTCAGCTCCTTTATTTCTATGCCATTGACGTCAGATGCACGAATATGAGCTGCATGCTGGTACCATTCCCGCATGAGTGACTCTGTGTACAAGCTAAACAGTGTAGGGTAGAGGGGACATCCCTGCCTTACACCAGCTGGTGTTGTAAATTCATCAGTCAATCCCCCTTTCCAGGGAAGATGCCCTCCAGCATTTATGTAGAGGTCATGGATGAGGCGTAACACATCTTCTTCGACATCGAAAAGGTGTAATTTTTCAAAGAGAAGTTCATGGTTGAAACTGTCGAAACCCTTCCTGTAATCTGGTAGTCTGGTTCCCTGACTCCACTAAATATAAAATAGATCAATTTACAGATGCCGGAAAATTGTAAGGTAAGGGTACCAGTCTAGTTGGCTTGCACCTGTTCATGAAGATGTAACCAATAGCAAACAAAATTTGGAGTGAATTAATGGTAAATTTGGAGCAGTAGTTGAAAAATAGTTAGGTTTTTCCAACGGTGGTCAGCCGACCACCGCTGGAAATTTTTACAAAAATACCATTTTCTTGAAAATGACTTGACACCAGGTGCCATAATTTAACACTATGCTTTAGACTGTCATTTACCAACATCCTAGTAAGGTATTTCGTAAAAACTTGGTAGTTTTATTTTTCGATGTTTGCAAATGTTGTATATTCCCTTTAAAGGGAAAATACAACATTTGCAAACATCAAAAAATAAAACTACCAAATTATTTTTAAATACCTTGCTGGACTGTTATTGAATGACAGTGTAAAGCATCCTGTAAGATCATGGCACCTGGTATACTGTCATTTTCAACAAAAAAAGTGAAATTTTCGTATCAATTTCCAACAATGGTCGGCCGACCAGCGTTGGAAAAAACTGGCTTATTTGATTTCAAATACTGGCCCGTATTGACCATATTTAGTTACTCTTCATTTGTTTGCAATCGATTACACACCTATGATAGGGTACAAGCCAGCTAGAGTGGTTCCCAGACCTTACGATTCCCCAACATCTATAAATTGCTCTGTTTCATTTTTAATGGAGTCAGGGAACCAGACTACAGAAAAATGATTGTTTTTCTTGGTTTTTATAGCATCTACGAACCCAAAATTGCCAAAAAAATCAGTGTAACAATTTTTGCTTTATATTGCCAACCCCCCAAATCTATCCATTTAGGAAAATTACAGCAAAAGCAAATGATGTATATTCCCTTTAACAGTGGTTTTTCAACATTTTCTTCAAAAGTGTGTGAGACGTTACCTAGGTTTTGTTGAAATAAATTACAATTAGTTAACCAAAAGCACTAATATCAGTAATCTGTGGTTGAAGATTACTGCTCAATCTCAAATAATACTGATGCCCGAGATACATACAGTCGAGAAAACATGTATGCATTCGATTTTCTGATTCTTGTTTTCCCCCACTAATATAAGATGTAGTTATTTCGCCCATATAAATGTGGTTATTTTCTGCCCATTTCCTTTTGTAGGATAATCATGTACGTATAGGGTACATATGATTTATCAACTCATTTGTTGAACTTTTTGAAAAATTTTAGGGGGCAAATACTCTTTGAGAAACCAGTTAAAGCTTGAGCTTCTTTCTGGACTGGACGAGCCAGAGTGTCATGTAGTTATTGGCCAATCAGAATCAAGATAACTCCGTCGTGATTCAGTGGTACTTGATGAGTACCAAAAGAGACCTCCAGAAAATGTCTTCATTCTTATAAGCTTTAAAACTGATGGTAACAGTTTGATATTTCTTGTAGCCTATGCATTAAGAATTCCGAACCTATGCAATACAAATAAACAATGTGACTGATTCCGTGCCCATTAGTTTTTGCATTTGTTGTGTGGTTTGTGTGTCAATAACCCCGGGTTAACCCGCCTATGCAAACATACTTTCTGTGCCAAGTTATACTTTCAGTGCCAAGTTATACTTTCAGTCAAAATTAGTCTTGTGACTGTTTCCAACAGTTAAGAATTGCCAGCATACATAAAGCAGGATTGACTGGCCATGATGTAACTCAATAAAGCTTTGCTTTGCCCACAAGTTGCCTGCTTTGTCTGTTCATGGTCTGTTGACTGAGTTTGACTAGTCACAGTGCTTGCTTGACATATGATCTGACTGCTACTAGCCTGTGTTATAAGTATAGCAGGGGAAGTGGAAGGAAATTTTGAATGCCTAAGAATGGTTAAGAATGAAAATCCTTGTTTAAAAGGGATTGCAAAACTCCAACACGCCTTTTAAATGTTGAGCCAACAATTTAGTTTACAAAGGCTTCCACCTGCCCTATTAGAGAGTCCCATGTACATGTATGCTGTAGGGAGAGGCATAATTATGAAATTGCAACGCTGCTGTAGGACTACTGTTCATATTTGTTCTGTTCATTGTGTTTAGACTTGGTACTAAAAAAAACTGCCATATTTTTTTCTCTCATTATTAGGACGATAATAATAGCTATCATTTAATTTTTTGGTTGTAATATATTGAATTATTGCTGTTGTTTCAGGTAGCAAGATGTCGCTTCCAAGGGCTATCTTTGAGCAGTTACGGAGCCTAGTCCTCATATTGTGGTACTGCCTAGAAGCCACAATAATGGCTTGCATTCCTCGCTCCATGCGTAAGCGCAAGAGTGTAGCTGGCGAGATCATACTGGTCACAGGTGCAGGTAAATGATAGTGATGGTCATGCAAGGTAATAGCTGTCATGAATGTATTCAGTATTGTTGTGTAGGTATTATAGGGGTAGGACTTTCAGCAATGACCGCTTGGGGAGATTTCTGCATATAATGGCCAAAAATTATTTTCTAAAGGGAAAAGGCAATGATTTTGCTGTTTGATTTCACAGCAACCATTTTGGACCCCCCCCCCCCCATGTACATATTGAAGATGATAAGCATAATGATAGCCGAAAATCAAAAATAAAATACTTATGTTGCTCATCTGACAGAAACCTTCCACCATACTTTTAACAACTCGGATTTTATATTTTATTTTAAGAATATGCATGCACAGACCCAGTTTTGCATGGTTCTGGTCAACTTTATGTATGTATCTTGTGGACTCCCTTGAGACTGAAATTTTCCTACTACAAAAGCATGGCGGTAATCATTTGAAATATAGCAATATTAATATCATGCTTGGACATTTATGTACACAAATTACAAATTTGAAAGAGAAAAAGTGGTTCCTTACATGATAATCGAGTAAATTACAAAGTCAAAAACCTTAAGAACCGGTATCATCCAAACTGCCAGAAACTCCAAACATAGACCCACCTGTATCCTTCTTTAAAGTCTGGATTTATTATCAATTAACATTATAAAGGTTAAGCATTCCCTGTGTTCACAAATGTGCAATTGATACAGCACCACCTTGAAATCAATAGATACCCGTTTCTATTTTTCTATCCTTTAATGCATAGGCAGTGGCATTGGGCGTTTGATGGCCCAGGCATTTGGCCAACTTGGAGCTACCATTGTTCTGTGGGATATCAACCAGGCAGGCAATGAAGAAACTGCAGACCAGATACGTGAGAATGGAGGAAGAGCCTATGAATATACCGTAGACATAAGCAACAGTGAGAAGGTCTATGAGGCAGCACTGAGTGTTAAGCGAGATGTCGGTGATGTGAGTATCATTTTAAGAACTTAAGTACTTCATTTCATTGATGTAACTAATTGAAAAGTAAATTGATTTATCGTGCAAGCAACCTCCCTCCACATAATAATGTGTCATCCAGATAGCAAAGATTAAAAGTTACCAATATATTGTCGGCCATCTGTAAGACTCATCTATAGGAAATGTACTCTTTACATCCATACATGTACGTGTCATTAAACTTTTGATGGCCAGTAATAATAATAAGTTGTTGTGAAAGTTTTATGGAAAGGAAGAGGTTCTAGAAATAAACTTTGACAAAGATAAAATCGTATGAGGGTGAGTCAAAAAAAGGAAGCCATTTTCTGAGGCGTACATGTAATTGCGGTGGCACTAGGCTCGAGCACATCGCGCTCAGGTAGTACGCATGCATTCTGGGCTCCTTCAACCAATAGTGTTCGACTAAAATGCGTGCGCCCCTCGTCTTTAATAATAACACATGCGGCATGCGCGCAAGTGTGGCACCACCTAAAAAATGGCTTATAACCTTGTTCATCGGATTACACTCTTAGTTTGAAAATATTTATGGCATATGTCCTTATTTTATATTTCTCCAATTAAGACTATTTCAGACAAGTCCATTCTTTTTTTGCCTTGAGGTTCTGCTTTTGAAATATATGAGTATTATATCGCATGCATGTTTCCTTTACAAAATGTGAAGTAAGTTTTTAATTTGATCTTCCACTTTGACTGGGGTATATGATGATTTCACCAAGATATGCATTTATGACCAGATGTATTCTTTGAAGTAATATCATAAGGCCTCCTTTACACAGGGCTGCGACCTTTGTACCACGTATGAGCAACCAAAAAATGGCCAGGACGCTCAATGGTCGCCTAAACCCAGAAAATCCTGTTTCTATGTAACTGCTCCAGCGATCCTTGTGCCTCCCTTGAACCACCAAAACTGCAATTTTCGGGTATTTTCATGTCGAGCTACGAGCGACCTGTGCGTCCACTGAGCCACTTGCCTGCCTCCCCTGTGCTTCCCCTGTGCAACCTACGACAACCAACGCCGAATGGAGGCACAGCGGTCGCCACAGACATCGTTCAATGCACGCTCTTGGTCGGCCAAAGGAGGCACAAGGGAGGCAGAAGCATATCGCCCAAATTGACGGTAACATTTGCAACAGAACGGATCTGTTACGTGGCGACCATTGGCCGTCCATTGTGCATCCGTTCTGCAACCACGGCAATGCTTGTGCCTCCCTTCTGCCTCATTTGAGCCACCTTGGAGCAACCAACCTCCTCGGTGACCTTTGTGGGACTGTTTTGAACATGTTCAAAGATTTACGGCGTCCATGGCGATGTCTGAACATCCTGTGTACCACCTTTGAACGACCTAGGCAACCATTCGGCCTCCTTTGAGCCTCCAACGGCGACCTGGCCAGTTTTATGGTCGCACAAGGGAGGCCCAAAGGTCACAACCCTGTGTAAAGGGGGTCTTAGTTGTGGAAGCTTTTGGGGTAGATGTGTCATAGAAATGCTGCTGCACCTTAAGCCTTCACTGTTTCTTGTATACATGTCCATAATAGGTGACAATCTTAATCAACAATGCTGGTATCGTCACTGGTAAATCCTTTCTGGAATGTCCTGATCACATGATCAAGAAAACAATGGACGTCAATATTAATGCCCACTTTTGGGTAAGTACATTCAGATTATGTTGACTTTGGTGTAAGTCTTCAAACAAACTTGAAGTTTTGAACTAGATTTGTCAGTCCAGACAACAGCAGAATGACATCCAATATTGAACACTCTAATAAGTTGCATGGGTCTATGGCACGCTATTTGGCATATACGTTTCAAATATTGTCATGCTGTATGAACATGTACTACAGGGTGAGTCAAAAAAGGCGGAGCCCAAACCCCATAAAATTCATTTCATATTTAAAAATATATGTAGCACCAAACATAATAATGACTGGAAAACCAATTTCATAAGGTACTTTTAGATGAAAAAAATTATGGAAATTGCTTAATTCGTTCAAAGAATATCACCATTTAAACACAATGACCCTAAAACCTGTCATCAACAACTGTCACCAACATCATCATGTCGCTCGCAGGCGGGATCCCCTGCGGCGTTTCCAATCCTCTCTATCCTTTATACAAGCAGCCAACTCTGTTGTGGTCTCAGTCCCGGCATCTCTCCTCAGAACCCCGACATAGCTCGTCCTCTGTCTTCCCCTCCGCTTCACCCCATGAGTCGGTTCCCACAGCACCAGACGGCTTGCTGGTAGCTCAGGGTGTCTGCAGCAGTGCCCTGCCATGCCCATCTGCCTGTATGCGATCTTCTGTGAGATCCTAGGTAGCATGCCGTAAAGGGTGTTATTAGACACGTGGTTTCTCCAGTCGATGTTGAGCACCCTCCCCAACATTCTGGTGTAACAACCGTCGAGGGACTTCTGAAGGGTCGTTGTTAAGGTCCAGCACTCACATCCATATAGCATGATGGACTCCACCGTGGCCTGGAAGAAACTGATCTTGACATCCCTTGACATGTTAGAGCTCCATATGGTTTTCATCCCATGTAGTACAAAATATCTTTATTAACAATCCTGGTTAGGCAAACAATATGATTTATTGAATCTACTTTTTAAAGGACAGGCCTTCAAATGGATTATGTTGAATATTGTTGACGTTTAAACTGAGATTTTATCGCTGGTGATGTTAAAAGACAATTGAGACGACGATTCTTGAAATCACATTTTTTTTGGACGAGACAGGTTTTAGGGTCATTGTGTTTAAATGGTGATATTTTCTGAATGGATTGACCAATTTCAGTCATTTTTTCATCAGAAAGGAGAGTTTGGATTCTTTCCATTCAAATTAAGACTTTTGTTAATAACTTCTTAGAAGAAAGAAATGCATTTTCAGGAAAGCACAGCTTTTGCTGTTATATTCATAATAATTTGGTAGTATTGTTTGTTTGTTTGCTTGCAAGTGTTATATAAAATGTAACTACTTGTACTCAATAATCCAAGTTACTCATGCTGTTACATTCTTTGCCCATTGATGTGCAAATATAGACCCACTTTTAGGTTTCTCTTGACTTTTCTCACAACCTACAGACACTCAAAGCGTTCCTGCCGTCCATGATTGCTAAGAACAAAGGTCACATTGTGAATGTGGCCAGCCTCGCTGGTCTGTTTGGAATGAATAGACTTGTAGACTACTCTGCCAGCAAGTTTGCTGCAGTTGGTCTGCATGATGCACTGTACTTTGAGTTGATGTACAGTGGTAAGGCTGGAGTGAAGACTACCGTTGTGTGTCCATTCTTCATTGATACTGGCATGTTTAGTGGAGTGGTACTCAAGTGAGTAGTAACGGAATCATCAAACATCACTCATGACATCAAGGCACTTGGCCTAGTTTTTACAAATGGTGCTACTAAGCTCAGATTGCTCATTGTAAATTATGGTGTAAAATTACTCCTAACTGGCTTAGGATATGCCTCTTAAAGCCAAATACTCACATCCAAGGTCAACATTTTAAGCCAATTTTTTAAAACTTTTTTTCTACTTTTCTAATATCCATGTGTTTCACCATCTTAACCCCTCAACATGTAGGGATCCCCCTCCTGGATATTTTTTTGGGTGATTGGGAACGACCCGATCACCTTTTTGAAATGGTCAGAATTAATCTTCTCTCTTCCTTTCCGTCCGTCTTTCTTTTTTTCCGGACAATAATTCTCCACAACTTTTCTTCAAAACGGTTAAGGTATTAATTTCATCAACAATGATCCCAAGGTGTGCATATTACTCTAAAGTCATGATGACATCATCAGGTATCAAATTACAAGCGATTTTAGTTCAAAAAAATTACCATCTAATATTCACTTATAACTCTTTAACAAACAAAAATGATTATGTTCATACTTTGAAATCTGATAGACCATACCTTGCAAGGCCTTGATAAACAATGTTTGTCATCTACCTAAAGTCGCTTGACCTTTCCTTCCGGAGTTGCCAGAAGGTCACAATAAGGTGAATTCAAAATGCAAACAGAAGCCTGAAATCCAAACAAACCAACATTTCTTCCAAACTGTTCACGGGATGATGATCAAACTTGCCAAGAACTTGAACCCTGGTCCGGAGATATGAAATATTATGCGGCGTCAGCATGACATCATCAGGTATCCAATTACAAGGGAGGTCAGAATTTGGATAATTACCTTGATTTATAACTTCAAATGAATGGAGTACCATACTCATTGTTTGTGATCAGTGAACAAATTTTGCCCGATAACTTAAGCTGCATAATCGGCTTACATGTAGGTGTCACTGTTGCATAACAAATTTGGGGGGGAAAAAAAAACAGATATCGCACTTCTGAAATCAGAAGGAGGTGTAATTCTTCAGCTGTAAGATGGCTGAAAAGGGGCTCATTTAGGGTTTAATTGGCTACACCCTAAACAAGATAATAATAAAACTAAACTTTTTCAATCCAATAGTTTTCATAATTTTGTCAGTAAGTAATTTGATTAAATTGTTTTTTTTCATTGTTGGTGCTACGGTTTACTCTCAATTTACTGTTTTGTAAACATTAAAATGCTCATTATTTACGAAAAGCTTTTATGCAGTGAGCTGTGCCAAACTCTATGCATCAGATTCACATTCAGATAACACATTTATTTCATTGTGATAAGTTCCTAAACACACCACACTGAACTGTGCAGGTATTCTGATATCGTCTATGGTATTTGTTGTTACAGAGATCCATTGATGACACTGCCTCTCCTCAAGCCATCTTATGTTGTCAAGAACATTGTGGATTCTGTGCTTCTTGAAGAGCGGATGTGTGTGCTACCTCGACATGTGTTCCTAGGAGTCCTCCTGAAATAGTAAGTAAAAGTTCACTCTCAAAGCGTAACAAACTATTGATACTAAAACAGGGTAAGTCAAAAAGAAAGTGACCAAGTTACAGAAAAAATTCAAAAAATGTGACTCGCTCCATTTGATAAAAATTAACTGGAATAGAGTACATGTACATGTTTTTGAGGAGTATTGGAAAATTTTAAGTGATTTGAATACTCTATTCACACATTATTTCTATTTTCATAGAAATACCACAAATTCAGCTGTCCACCACTGATCTAGGGCTGTGCATCGGACCCGAGTACCCGACCGTTAATGTCAGGAACCAGTTCCAGATTATGGAATCTGGTACCTGTAACCAACTTTAAAAATGACTTAGACAACTTCTCAGACAGTGAAAAAGAAAGGTTCTGAATCATTTGTGGGGGATTTTAAAATGAAAGCAGGCTACATGGGAAAACCATTCATATTTTATGTTTGTGACGCTCGCGAAAGTTGCAGTTTTCACCGTAAAGCTATAAGCTCACTGTTCGCAATTGTATCTTGCTGAATCGATGCACAGATGTGCAGACCTTTAGGAACAATCTGATCAGCAACGTCCAAGATTTTAATGATGGGGTTGGGTTTCTTTAATGGGTACCCGGGTACCCGTGTTTTTTTTTTATCGAGTACCCGGTGCCCGTACTACCTGTTAATGCACACCCCTACACTGATCATTTACCGATATGCATTAATGAAAACTCCTTCAAGACAAGGAACAAAGGAAAACATCTGACAGCAAAAATCATGTTTCAGTTTTGACTCAAATAAAGTCTCATTTGAATTTGAAAGCCTGCATGTAATCCTGGTTCTCACTCAGCTCAATAGCTTCAAAGCATTTAGCATTCCATGGATATGGGTTCTTTTAGTAAAACATGCATAACTTCTGATAGCAAGGATCAATTTAAGTAATCCATTTTTTGTTCAGATGAGTGGAAGAACGTGCTTGTTTAATATATGTGCTTCATTGGTGTGTCAAATTTAATTGCATTTTAACTTAAGGGGGGAAATCATTAATCCAGTCACATTCTTTTTGACTCGCCCTGCACAATAGCCTGTAATTCGACATCTCTTTGCTAAATATAATAAAAGGTCCATATGACCAATTGCAGTTGCCCAGAAACTGATTTGCTTGTGCGTTCATGGACTGGACTGATACAAAACACTGTGGAGTCTCTTCCATATGGCTTGTGGTCATGCTGAGAGACATAGTCATCATTAGCAATTGAAAAAGCTGGGCAAGACAATTTGGAGTGATGTACCTTCCCCTACTCCGACCATTCCTTTTTTTTCTTATTATAACTGAAATGAGAATAATTTGAGATTCAGGATTTCACATTGAAAAAAATCCCAAAAACTTGTTTGTGATGACTCATTGGCAATTTTGTGATGTTATTTGTGTGTGTGTGTGTTTATAGCTGGATACCGGAGAAAGCCACACTGCACATTTTCCATCGTTTGGGATTTGATGAATGCATGTCTACATTTGTCGGCAGAGGCAAAAAGGACTGAATTATCCACTTTAGAATTTGATTTCAATTTTTTACCCAATTTTTTTAGTTAGTCACTGTCCGAACATAATTCGTTTGAATTCATCATTCACATTATGCCCTATTTACAAGTTGCCAATATTGCAGACGTTATGTCAACATTTTGATCTTCGTAGCAATGATCTTCAAAGGTACTTTATCTGATTATTTTTTATAAAGATTATTGTGGCATGTATTATGGTATATATCTGACAGCAGCTTGTCTTCTCAAGATAAGTAATGAAGATGCATTTGTTTTACTGATACATGTAGTAAAAAAGTGCCTTTCCGACTTTTAATTTACATGTAGTTCCAACATGAGTTTTTTGATGAGCCTTTTTCTCATGATTTATGTTTTTCATCTGTACACATCTGCCTGGGGGAAGTACATACAGTGTTGTGGTACTCGTACCTTAACTTATTAGCATGTACTTATTAGATTGTACTCGTACTCGTACTCACAAGAAAAACAAATGACCTATACTCATTCTCATTGCAAAGTACTCATACTTGTACTCGTACTTATACTCATGAAACATTCTTCCACTGGAAGTTTATTTTTGTAAGAGGTATGCAGGAAAACATCCATTTTCTACTGTTTGGTGGGCTTTTGCATATCTTTAATGTAAAGTCTGACAGCAAAAAGGGAACATGCATACCCATAAAAATAGCAGCATACCCATTCTCCTACTCGTGTAGTAAACTACTCATACTGGTGGCAAGGTAATACTCATACTCTTACTCATAGTCATGCAAATGTTCTCAATTACAACACTGGTACAAACTGAGTGTGGAGATAGTTTCATGGTTTTGAATGTACTGTTTATATTCAAGATATTTCATTTATACCTTGTTAGAGTATACATGAGCCTTTAGGCTCATAATTACCTAGTCATTATAATTGAGACCAAATTACATTTTGTAATCCTTCTCATAATTTATATATTTTGATAAATATTGCATTAACAAATTGTAATTCTATTTTAACATACATGTATAATGCAATTTTCAAATAAAAAATTGCTAAAAAATCCCTAATTTTGTTTCCCGAAATAATATCAGTTTCAGGAAGAAATTCCTATCTGGATTGATTGCTTGAGGCTTTTAGTCTCTGCATGTGTTGACTTCAACACATCAGCCGGCCCTGACATTATCTTTGACTTCATTTCAGCCACTTTCTCAAAACTATGCCATCCACCACTGAATTAGGTCAACAACAATTAAGGTATAGATTGGGATGCATACATTCTCCCTATGGCCACCGTCCAATTATATTCAGGGTTAAGTTTTATTGACGGCCATTCTTCTTTTTGTTAGGTGGTGTTAAAGTATCTTTCAGAAGTCAGTAGATACAGGAGTTTGATAGGAAGAAAAATATCTTTGTTGAACACCTTGGAGATTTAAACAAAGAAAAAGGAAATGTAGATATTCATGAAGTTTATTAACGTGTACATGTATCAACAATGCCATCACCCCCATCAAAACATCTTGCGTGTGTTCACCACTGAGTGCCAAGATTGCACGCACGTGATACATATACAGGATGTATCACACATGGTACAATAGAGATTTGTCTTGACAAAATACCATGGCTTCTGTTTGGATAATAGAAATGTACAAAATAATATTAACCTTGACAGTTTTCGCGTAATAATCGCGTGAAGGAATTCGGGGATACGAAATGTTCGTTTTATCCAATCAAGCCGCTAGATTGCTATGCTTGACACGAGATACACGTAACCAGGCTTTAAACACATTTGTTGCACTTTGTTTTGGGACCTGATTTCCGAAAGTGAACTTGGTGTGGTTGTAGACAAGAAGGGTTTGTAAATAGGCCTGACAAAATCACAATGTGTGTGCCGTCAGTTTTCTCTTTGAATATAGAGTTTTGTGGCCACGGCAATATAGGGTTTATAGCACTTCAGGGCTATAGGGGTACACACTCTGAACAGGACATCCAACTTGTATTGCTGAGAAAGATGAACCCGAAAGTGGCTCTTTGTAGTGATGGAGGAGTTATAAGTGATCATTTTTTCAAGATGGCGATTGGCTTCATCAGGACTTTACTGTTACGGGTGACCATCTCTGGAGGGATAAGTCAACCCAAAGTCATCAGTTAACCTCAAGGATTTGAACGGAAAGTGACAAGAGGGTATGTTATGGAGTGGCATTATGTGGCCACCGTATCCACACTCTAAGAAATTATTACGGGCTATGAATAAACGTCTTTCAGTGAATGCTACACTTGAGTCCTGCCGTCTTTAGAACAGGGTATGTACACTTAGTAGCCTAGTGAATAGGCCTAGTTTCCCGATTTGTTTTTAAGTGAGAGTCATCTGTTGGTGTCTGTGGTAATTAAATGTAGTTATTGCGGTGCCAGTCTGATGTCGGCAGATGTAAGTCATACTCCGATGACATTATTCACTGCTATTTACTGAATTTCAACTGAGTTTGAATGCGTCATTTCATTATGAAAACTTATAAGCTTGTGAAAATTCCAGCACGAAAAAGCTCCCTGCCCCCCTTTTAGAATATTTTTTAAAGTAAAAAACACCCATCACACTCGTAGGCCTACATCGTTTACTACGGGCCTGCTTATGCAAAAATAAAGACTTGTTTTCCAATAAAGCTTTCACATTATGTGCTACAAGTTATTGCTATTTATGTGAAAAATATAATCAAATTACTGCAATTCGCATTTTTGGTTTTGTCTGGTATAAGTTGAACAGTGCAGCGTAACTTTGTGCATTATTGTAGCAATATGCGTGTGTGGACTTTGATACATGATGCGGACATCTTTACAAATGCATGTTTGTGTTTTTTAACAGGTCAACTTTGGAATTGTCATATGAAAGACAAGTTGCCCTTAAGCAAACATGACACACGTCTGTTTTCGACGTGTGTTTTTTTGTCTGTCTCGATGATCATTTGGAAAAATTGAGATGAAAGGTCAAAATAAAAGTTCATGTACTGGGTTAGCTCACCGCACCTGAGAAAGCAGTTTGCAAAATGTTGGCCGAGGGGGTGTTGGTCTTTTTTCTTGCGATCTGGTATTTCCTCGAATCTTTTGTCAAGACTTGCGTTGATCTTTTCGCGCCATTATCCATCCGAAGACCAAAAGATGTGACATGCGAGATCGCTTTGGTGACGGGTGGTGGGGCGGGGTTGGGGCGTCTCATGGCAATAGAGTTAGCCAAGCTAGGAGCTACCGTGGTGATCTGGGACGTCAACCAGCACGGCAATGAGGAGACTGCGCGTATAATACGTGAGCTAGACGCTGGAGACGTACTCGCATACACTGTAGACGTCAGTAAGGCAGAGCAAGTGTATGCAGCAGCTGATCGAGTTCGACAGGAGGTTGGTGATGTCACCATGCTGGTCAATAATGCTGGCGTAGCACACTACAAACCGGTACTGGAATGTTCCGATCGCCTTATCCAGAAAATGGTAGACGTCAATGCCATCTCGCACTTTTGGGTAAGAAGGCGGCGGTTCTGTCTTGGAGAAAGTCAGCCCTCCCTACCAACCGAGCACCCTCCATTAGTCCAGTCGTTTATTACATGTAGTTGGGACGGACAAGGTAGTTGGGGCTTAACCAAGTATATAGCCGGCACTATAAATTAAACATTTCCAGTATCTAGCGGGAGGGGGAGGGCTGCTGCTGACTAATGTTTTGATGCTAGTAAAAATGGCAAAAAAAATATTGAATGCTAAAAGTTCCTAACTTTATTCTTAAATTGCCTCGGAATAAAGGGAAAGGCATCGTAGATTTCAAGATTTCCCGGGAGCATACCCCAGGACCCCTATAGCAGGGCGTGTCTTTGACATGCCTTCACTCAACCACCCTTTCATATCACCCCCCGTTTCCTGAAAGCTACAATCCCGGCCAAAATGGTTGGGACACTTGGAAATAACCTTAGCCTCCAACGGTCACCAACCCCCCTGCTCCCCGGTCAATGTTGTTCTCTTCAGGGGATGGAGCACACACCGCGCGATGAGAGACAACATTGACCGGGGACTGGGGGGCTGGGGGCCCAGCGAGATTTGGCCAGGATTGTAGATCCGTCCCTGCTTTCAATATTTCAACGTATCCCTTTTTTAAAGTATCATTTCTATTTTAGATTGAAACAACCCTCCTTAATCATTTTGTACTCTTGTAACCACGTGCGCCTCCAATGGAATGCGATGATTCAAAACTATATACATGTACATGTAATCGTATTGGCCTAAAGTATGAACAAAAGATTTGTTTATATTGATAAGTTTTCGATTTCTATTAATATCATTTTTTACATTCTGATGTTTATGGCTCAAATCCCTTATCCTGCAGCTTCTCAAGACCTTCCTACCAGCTATGAAGGAAGCCAACCACGGTCATATCGTGACCATCGCAGGTACTGCAGCCTATTTCCCTATTCGTCATATGGGCGCCTATACATCCAGTGTCTGTGCTGCAGTAGGCATACACGATGCTATACAGGTGGACCTGACATTTGAAAATAAGACCGGTATCAAGATGACATTGGTCTGCCCGTCCTTGATCGCCACAAATATGATACTAGGCCGCATCAATTATGGGTAAGATATTATGTATTGTTCTTGGTGTTTGTAGACTTGCCAGTGATTATATTTGACATTACCAATATGCAGCAGCTAGGTATGATAGATTACCCGTACTATACCAAGCCTGATATTACTGGTACAAATACCAAATTATTCAGACTGGTATGTCGGATAAAAACAAATGTTCTGTCGGAAAAAAACGGAATTTTTGTGCCGACTTATCGCCAGAGCCTTTGGTGACCGTTTCATTTATTAATGGAACGAAGTAATGCACATGGAATAAGAAGTTAATAGGCCTAAGCACATTAGTTTATAAATACAACGACACAAACTAATTTAAAGGGAAGATACAACATTTGTAAACATCAAAAAACAAAATGATTAAATGATCACAAGATAACTTACTGTATTGTTAGGGAATGACAGTCTTAAGTATCCTGTAAAATCGTGGCTCCTGGTGTGCTGACATTTTCAAGAAAACTTGTATTTTCAACGCTGGTCGGCCGACCAGCGTTGGAGAAAAATGGCTTTCTTTTCAAAAACCGCTCCGAATTTTTCACATTTATTTATTCCGCATATTCTTTGCAATTGATTACACAGCTGTGAAGGGGTACAAGCCAGCTAGACTGATTCTCTGCCCTTACAATTCCCCAAATTCTATAAATTGCTCCGTTTCATCTTTAGTGGGGTTAGGGAACCAGACTACAAGAACGTGGTTGGTTTTCTTAGATTTCCCAGCATCTCCGAACCCAAAACGTGAAGCGAGTCAGTTTAACAATACATGTATTTGCTATAACATAATAATCCTCCAAATCCATTTATTTCTGAAAATTGCAGCAAAAGCAAATGTTGTACATTTCCCTTAACTTATACTCCATATCTGATTCCATTGGGTTTTAATTCGAACATTTTATTTGCTTCTTATCAGGACGGCGAGCATCACGTCACCAGAAGAAGCAGCCCGAATCATTATTGAGGGCGTGATACTCAACAAGCGTATGGTCTGTGTTCCCAAGAGAGTCCTCATTTACACCGTCATGAAAAGGTGAGTTCAGAAAATTTGTCGAAGCATATTATAGTTGTAATAGTTCTTTTCATCTGTAAAAGGACTCGAGGATGGGAAACAATGCGCCTGGTTTTTAATGGCTCTGCATGGATTATTGTCTAAGACTTGATGCGTGCCAGCTTCCCTGATGTAATGCGTTGGACTCCTAATTCTGTCACTGTTTATTAAATATTTAAACTAAGCCTATATGTATGTTCTTTCTCCATCTAGCTTGATCCCGGTGAAGTTCCTGGTGAGAATGCTGCGGTTCCGTAAGATTGAAGATCCACTGATTAACAAGCATGGCGTCCGTTATGACGTCACGGATGACGAGGAGAGTGACAAGAACGACGACTTTGAAAATTTGTAGGATTACCATCCAGACGGCTGTTGTATTGACATGTTAATTCTTTGGAGTAAGCTCGGCATGTACAGTCACCTAGTACCTGCGCAGTTTTTGAATACTACACATATTAGCTCGTTCCTCACAACGTTCAACTTCAGGACTAAGTTTAGCCTAATTTAAAAAAAAAATCCAAAGGTTTCATGGAGTTCTTGTTAATTAGTGAGCATTTAGACTGATGGGTACTAGTAGCATGCTTAGGCTTTAAATGTGTGTTTGGCACATCATTTACATTTCTGTTGTGATGATTCTTAAACGCTGAATATAGCGTCCCGTGTAGTTAGATGTTGTCGTCTGCAAAATCCACTGCATCCGCCCCCTGCTTTTGGAATCCCTGGTGGTCGGTAGATTTCAGAGGAAATTCCAGACTTTGAACTTCAGACTCGCCGCGTTTTCGCTGTTCTCTTTAGGGTATAGATTTTCAGTGTTACATAAAAAATTAGAAATGAGATAGCAAACCTAGAAAATGTCTCACATTAATCTATTTCAAATTGATTGGAATCTATATCTGTGTCCGAGCCCATAACAGTTATTCGTCACGCCTATGCACGCGATGAGCACGGGACAAGTTCGAAGTCGATGCTCATGTATAGGGTGTCTATATGAGACACTAAAACCTAATCCAATATTCCAATATAACGAGCACTGCGTGCCGTGGGGGTATCTATCGGTCTGAGTTTCATTCGTTCGAAGCGGAGACCTTTCCTGTCTATAAGCGTCTGAAATGATGTACATGCAAATTTAATGCATGATGCAATTTCCGTAAGAAACAACGAAGAACAAAGAGCAATACTTCAGGACACACTTTGCATTTATTTCACGCCATAGTGATATGATATTGCTCCCCAAAAAAAGAGTTAGATGTGTGCATGGCTTTTTCCATTTACAAATTTCTTTTGTCTTTCTTTTACATGAATAAGCTCATTTTACAGAAAAGCGCAAATGTTGAATTGTTTCATAGCCTCTAGGTTCTATGTCAATATTGGGAATTGCCCTTCACCAACGTATAAGTAAAAATCAATCATATGAATAGATGCTATGTCTGTGGCTCATGCGCTGTAGAATTCATAACTCATGAGATTGCATAGCCTACTGGTGGTCGCCATGTTCCATATCTGCCGTTGGGAGTGTATTTCAGACAGAAGTCATCCATATAAGCTTTTGTGTAGCGCCTTATCTCGAAGCGCTGGTTCTGCTATAATGTTTAATAGTCTTATAAAATGGTCGGATCATCTCCGATGCTATCAGTTCTGTTGGTTCGTTAAAATACAATGCTATACTCAGCAGAGTTACATTAACTTGTACTTAAACTGGTTCGTTTATAATAAAGATATCAATAAACTTAAAGCTTGTACTAGTAACAATAATGTCAGTATTTGTCCAGTCTTCCGGGGCGCGGGGGCGGATCCTGGTATTTTTGCAGGGGGAGGGAAATTTAATGTCTGTGAAAAACTAAGAAAAAAATTGACAGAAATGTTTTTTTTTTTGTACCCCCCCCCCCGGATCCTCGCCTGGGGCGTAACAAGGTCATTTTTATTGGGGGGAGGGGGGGGGGGGGTAAAACTTCTTGAAAAGGGCACTTGCACATCCGTGCTGAAAGGTAGGCGCTGGGGGCGCTGTTCAAAACGCGACGATTATGCACACTAACGGACAATATATGGCGCTTTTTCAGGGCGACACATGCGCGAAATTAAAAAAAAAAGGCACTCGTAATGGCCGCTGCCACACAAAAAGGGCATTTGTTCGGAAAAAGGGCACTCGTTCATAAAAGGGGCACTCGCTACAAATATTGGGGGATGGGGGGGGGGGGGGTAAACGCTGGTGACAAAAGGTACTTGCATGGAAAAGGGCAGTCTTACACAATATTGGAGGGGGGGATAAATACCCCCTTAAACCCCCTCCCTCCCCCGATCGCTATACCTATGGTTTTATACTTAAAACATCTCGCACTATACTCTGTTGCAAAAGCTAACTCGGACGAAACAGCTTGGCTTTGAATATCATTTTTAAAATCAGGAAATACAAATAAAAATAGCTCAAATTAGAAACCATCGAAAACCCAGATAAAGTTCGGAAGGGGCACAAAGGTTGCCTAGTCCATGGTGATTGCTTTGCATATACAAAGCTAATAATTCCGCACTTTGCCTTTCTGACGAGGTCACTCTCTGCACCCTTATACTCCATCATGGCCGCCAAGTCGGGTATTGTCTTCCTTTTATACGTAATTTGGTATTTCACTGAATCTTTCTTCAAAACATGTGTCAATGTTTTTGTGCCTTCGTCCCTGCGCCGACAGAAAGATGTCAGGGGTGAGATTGTCTTGGTAACGGGTGGCGGGGCCGGGCTAGGCCGCCATCTTGCCATAGGATTTGCCAAACGGAAAGCTACTGTAGTGATCTGGGACGTCAACCAGCACGGCAATGAGGAGACTGCGCGTATAATACGTGAGCTAGACGCTGGAGACGTACACGCATACACTGTAGACGTCAGTAAGGCAGAGCAAGTGTATGCAGCAGCTGATCGAGTTCGACAGGAGGTTGGTGATGTCACCGTGCTGGTCAATAATGCTGGCGTAGCACACTACAAACCGGTCCTGGAGTGCTCTGAAGAAATCATCCAAAAAACTATCAATGTCAATGCTGTCTCGCATATCTGGGTAAGAAGTTTCGATATAATTCTACCTCAGACCGACTGACGGACCGAAAGCTCACCACTCGATCCGAGGACAAATAGATCAACAGTATATAGGGCGAGTCAAAAACACGAAACCCAAATGTCGGGACTATTGTTTTATTGAAGATCTGCATGTAGCACCTTCAAAATCTAGAATATGAAAGCCCAATTCATATGCTTTCTTTTAGTACAAGAATCATTCAAATCACTTACGTACTTTTTAAGTTACAAAATTTTAAGCACAACCACCGTTTTAAAGTTCTGTCCACGGATCACACAAAATGTGTGCGTTCTTTCAGCAAACCGAAAACAATTCACACACATCCCTGTGTTGGTTCCGACATTTGGTTGTTGTTTTTTTTTACTCACCCTGTATTTCTGATATTTGAGGAGTCGTTCCAATCGATTTGCAAACGAATCAGTCGACTAGCAATTTTGTTTATTAAGTTTTCTGTTTAAATTGAGAAGCTGTTACGCCCCAACTTTACCATCGATCCCAACTTTAGATGGGACCGGCGCCCTAATGGGAGTCTGCCAAATGAAAGGGCTCACTGGCATGAATTTTGCTTGAGAACATTTTGTGTAATTTTAAATTCCTCTTAAAAAGCATGAAAACTATTTGACATCCCACTTTTAATTTATTTTTTTTCATTCCATGCTTTTCCTGACAAATGAGGGCGCTGTTGCTGTGATTTCATTTCAGGAAGACACCGTTCTGGGTTTTCTGTTCAAATTGTGAACCTAAACGTTGCTCATTGAAAACGTATGTGGGAACATTTTGCTCATTAGCCTATAAATGTCATGTCCTCAAACAACTGAAACAACAAAATAATTGCGACAGCAAAATATCCAAAATAGTGGCAAATGTTGGTGCTGAAATAGCTGAAACATTCGTGTTTCTGCGTAAAGTGATATCATATTTTACTCATGAATATGCAAATTTGCATTCGCATAAAAACCCCAAAAAGGCACAACCTTGAAATGCCCTTGAGAATGGCAAAATAAAAATTAAAAATCAGGTTAAATGGCACACCAATTTGGCAAGGACGGCGTGACGGTTGGGACGGCCCAACTAAATAGGGCGCCTCATTTACGGATCATGCCGTCCACATCGACAAAGTGCCACAGATACGAAGTAGTTTTTAGTTATTTTATTTTATATATACACGTTTTTGCTGTGCAAACTATATGCTGAGTCGGTCGAGGGCAACAAACTTGGGCCGGCCAAATTGGAACGCTTCAGTTGGGTCGGTCTCCGATGGTATAGTTGGGACGTATTTCAAAACTGTAAGGATTCCTTGAAAGGTGCTGTATCACGGCATGGTAGGCAGGGGTGGATCCAGGGGCGTGGGGCGCATTCCCCCCCCCCCCCCCTCCCGCATCCTTCAAGAAAAAAAGCAAGCTAGATATAGGCCTATATAGAGAGCGGAGACTCAAAAAGAAAAAAATGGAGGGATCGAGAGACAAAATTAATAGGGCACTTCACGTCACCGTAGCCTGCTGGGGTTATAGTTGCACACAAGACAACAATTATTATTGGGGTCTGTCATACTTTTACTAAATTAAAAAGCGACGGGACCAAGAACTGCGACGAGACAGGGCGCACACGGCGAGACGAAAACAGCAGCGACGGCTGTATCGGTCATTTTCGTTTTCATGAAGTAACTCTCATCTTTATTTCAGCAGTTTCAAGGCTTTTACTGATATTTCTGCAATCCTGCAAGATTACCGATTAATTACATTCTTGTTTATCCAAATAGTATTTCCGTAACAATGTTGTCCCTTTGTGAATACGAAACTTTCGCGCCAGTGTCCGATGTTCACGCACGCTTGAGTGTTACTTCGTGAAACCAAAATTTGTCATTAAGCGGCTTTCACGAAGTAGGCCTATATCAGTTTGGTGTTACTTCGTGGTGTCGGTGGCAATTTGTGCCGAATTTAAACCCTGGATATATACACCACTAATTTATTTATCATCCTACAGCTCCACAAAGCCTTTCTTCCCGCCATGAAAGACAAGAACAGCGGTCACATCGTGACTATTGGTAGCATCATAGCCTTCGTCCCGTACAGGTCCATGGGTGCATACACCGCTAGCAAGTGTACAGTGCATGGCATCCATGAATCCTTACAACTAGACCTCGCCTTCGAGAACTCCGCTATTAAGATGACGCTAGCGTGTCCCTCTGGACTGGCCACGGGCATGATAGTGGGACGTATCAATACTGGGTAAGCTCTAACAAATCCAATTGTCCAACAATGGCTCTTGACATTTGGTATTCTGGTTATCTTTCTGTCTCATCCGCATTTCCTTTTGCACTCACCCCTTCCAACTACCATATCTGTTATTAAACGTAATTTTCATGTGTCGCGTGAAAAAGCACCAAGATCAAAATTTGCGCCAATCTCAAGTGCCATACATTATGCATCGCATTTGATGGTGACCCCTGACTTTTTGTGACGATAGGCGTGGGATAAATCCACGCTGCAACTAAAAAGGAAACGCGACCTCAAGCATTTATTCGTGATGTCATCAGCATTGATGTACTTTAAAGGTCTCCATATACCTGACAAGCTGTTCTATTATTGGGATTACTTGGGTGGCTAAACCATCCTCCGTCTGACCAATGACAATTTTGTTCAGCTTGATGTATAGGTTGGAAATGATCCCAATACTGTACACTTCGGAGAAAATCCAACTGTTCCCTAAGATTCCTGAAAAAAAATCTATATCTATATTCAATGCTTTTTAATTTTCGCTGTGACTTAAACGGCGGCATCCGCCAGCCCCCTTTAAAAATCCAGGATCCGCAATTCACTCGGGTATGGGGGGGGGGTGTTAAAACCGTTGGTGTAGGCCTACTGTCGTACTACTACGTGATTGTACGGAAAAGATGTTAACAAATTAACCCTTTTGGGGGATGGGGAGTCTTAATTATGTTTGAATCTCAAATATTTGGTGGATTGTTTCTATGGTAACAGGGATGCGGAACTCAGTCAACCGCAAAATGCAGCCGAGGAAATCATAGAGGGCGTCCTTCTAGATAAGTTAGTTGTGTGCGTGCCTGGTGGGGCTTACCTTTACACACTTATCAAGAAGTAAGTGAGTTGCTTTGTGTATATATACATGTAACGTATTTCTCACAAAATCATAGGGTGCGTTCGTTTAGCTCATCCGGGTGGACACGGGTCAGCCCCGTGCCGTTCGATTAGCTCTGACGTCATTCTCGGGGCTCACCCGGGTCAGCCACCACAGACCCTGCTCGTGCAGCAGAGTCACTGCTGGAAGTACGTCACGCATGCGTTGTTCATTCCCTAGAAGTGAACAAATATGGCGGCTGGACAGCGGAAATCTCAAGTGGACTATAATTTCAGCCCAACTTTTTTGAGTTTTGTAGTTGACTAAAAAGCAGTAAATCTCAAGACCCAATCCGAAACGGGCGTTTTGTCTGTGGCTACGGCCACTGCTATAGGGCGTCACGTGAGGATCGTGATGACCCGCGGTTGAGCGTTCGATTTCGCTCGTACACCCGCCCTGCAAACAGGACGCTGGGATACTCTGATGAATTCACGCTCTGATTGGTTGGATTTTGCGCGACCTGTGCGTCATCAAGGTCATGACTCTGCAAGGTTGAACTACGGCCGTTAAGACTGATTCGTTACTCTTTTATTCCAGTTTAGAGATTTTTTTCTCGTTGAAAAGCGTAATAATGTAGGAAATTCTGTAAAACACATCTTAATTTACAATTCCCGTCACTCGCTCAGGCTCCGTTTCGAATCACGAACGGTCGGATTGCATTATGCGACGCTCACAATTTTGTCCACATGGTCCGCAATGAAACAGAAATCACATTCGGTATGGAATGTGCGCAATTCTATGGGAAGTTTTCGGATAGCATTTGCGCACATTGTCTAACTGCGGTCTTGAACAGCTGCTAGCCAGATGCTTTATACATAGGTCATAGGCCACTTCCTTCAAAAGATTCTGTGAAGCTCATCAGAGTATCCCAGCGTCCTGTTTGCAGGGCGGGGGGTACGAACGAAGCGTTCGATAAGCCCAGCTGTCGTGGCTGGCCCGTCTGCCTTTACCCTGTCGACCCGGGTGAGCTAAACGAACGCACCCATAAAGATAATGGACAGAAAGTACAGTATAAACGTGCACTCAACTTCTTCGAAAACGTTCGCTTTTTGTACAATATAATTTATCCAGCAAAGGAATTTGCGGGCATACCAAAATTTGTATAGTCTTGATCCAGTCACACATGTTTTTCATTGGAAACGTTGCATAACACAATGTGCTCTATCTCGTTGTTGTGGGGCCTTCGTACAATGAACAGCACTTACTTTTATGCGGCTCCGGCTCTATGTTGACAGCTTTTGCTCATAATTTGATTGCCAGGCTTTAGTCACTGCTGGGCAAGTCAAATGGCTATATACCCCAGCCTTTGACAAAGACTTGAGTAAACAATCTTACAAGCACTATATTTTGTAAATCATTAACAACCATTTTGCGCACGAAAACCAGTGTCGGCAAATTGGCTAAAAGAAACAATGTCGGCATATATCGACCAGTACTCGTACCCAACCTCATTCCCATAGTGTCGAGAAGTTAGTCTGGTTCCCAAACCAAAAGATTCTGACTATTCCTGATGAATCTTAGGTCAGGTAGCCTCCGGTAATACATTGTATTACAATTTACGTTACGTGACTAAAACGGTAGGAATTCCTCCTTTTTCCGAAAATGTCCGAAGTTTGCCGAGTTCATTTCGTCGACAATCGGATAGCGCCCGAGTTTTTCCGAGTATAACTTACCAATTGCTTATCAAAAACTTTTAGAGTTGATAACTAATATTCATTGCTTTCATTAAAAAAAACTTGAAATTCAACGACGATTTTGTGCATCAAGTATACTCGGATCGTATGGGCGAACTTTTTGCTGCGTCATGTACTTTTTTGAATTTGACGACCGTTACCGAGATTTTCCAAAACTAGGTCTTCGTTCGGCTCCGCCTGCTAACAGTGCTATTTTGGGTGCCCAATTTTGAAGATTCCAGATCAACATAAGTCAATGTTATCTTACAGAAATATCATACTGTATTATCATAACTGTATGATATTATGAAGCAAGTGATTTATTTACAAATTTGATCAGAACATTAAAAGCTTTAAGTGATTAAGCGAATTCGGAAACGAAGCCGAGCTTTGAAAAAAGGCCGTCAATGTCGTCATGTTTATTTTTAGCCACGGAGGCTGCCTGACCTCCAATTTAGACCTGAGCGTCGGGAATAATTGTCAGGTCTAGGGAACCAGACTATCGAGAAGTGCGCTCCTATACCACTATTATTGAGTATATATAAAGTGATAAGGGCGCGAAATTGAAACCTGCCGGAAGTCCAATGTCAATGTCTAATACAAAATCTTCTTGTTAAATAAAGTGTTCTTCCTCTTTGTTTTCACTAGTTTGATTCCCGTTAAACTGATGGTGATGCTACTCCGGTCAATCCACTTGGAAGACACATTCGTCAAGGAGGACAAAACATTTGAAGACGAGGAGGAGAAATAGACGACTGTTGCATGTCCTAAAAATCCTCTGCAACATATACAGTCTCCAAGATTTACTCATTTAGACACTGTGAAATTGCTCTATAAAGCAATGAAAACTATCAGCTATTTGAATCGTGTGAATATTTCTTACAAGAGAACGCTGATTTATATGTTCTTGAATATGCATAGAGTTGTTTTTTTTCCTGATAGTTACTCGTTTATATAAGATATTCTTGACGTTCTCCAATACATTCTTGCTCCATGTAAGACCATCCATTAAGCATTAGCGATCGGTAAAGTGGCTTTTTGAGTCTTTAATTCCAGTCAAAACCTAAACGAAAAAAGGCCCTGTCGAAGTTTAATTCAATTGAATATTGACATTCACAAATAAGGGTGAGTCAAAAATGCGGAACCCAAACCCCCAAAAATACATTTCATATTTAAAAAAAATATGTAGCACCAAACATACTAATGACTGGAAAGCAAATTTCATAGGCTACTTTTAGATGATAAAAATTACTGAAATTGCTCAATCCGTTCAAAGAATTATATCATCATTTAAACGCAATGACCCTAAAACCTGTTTCGTCCAAAAAAAAACCAGTTTATTGTGTATTCTGACTGTTTGGAACAACAAAGAAAACGACACAGAATAATTGTTTCAACAACTGTCAACAACTGTAATGCACAGTTTATTTTAAACAACCCTGGTTAGGCAAACAGTATGATTTATAAAATCCATTTTTTTTTAAAGACGGGCCTTCAAAAGGACTTTGTTGAATATGTTTAACTTTTAAACTGAGGTTTTATCGCTGGTGATATTTGAAGTCAATTGTGACGACGATTCTTGAAATCGCACTTTTGGACAAAAGCGGTTTTGGCATCATTGTGTTTAAATGGTGTTATTCCTTGAACAGATTGAGCAATTTCAGTATTTTTTCATCTAAAAGTAGCTTATGAAATTGGCTTTCCAGTCATTGATATGTTTGGTGCTACATATTTTTTTAAAGTATTAATTTTGGGGATTTGGGTTCCGCTTTTTTTTTTTACTCGCACTGTATAATCACGAATCCATGAGTATTCTATTAATAGTACACAACATGTAAGTGATTTTACTGGCTTTACAGCATTTTCGTGTCTAAAGATTGAATCTCCATAAGCCTCTGTACTAATGACATCACACTTTATTTACGTGTGTGCTTTCCTATGGTGCTCAGTGGACCGTGGACCCCCACTGGCTCCATATAAAGTGCACATGTAAACAAAGTGTGACGTCATTAGTACAGAGGCTTATTCCATGTTATATTCATATCTAATGTTGGCTGACCAATCACAATGGAGGCCGTGCTAGCCAAAATGGCATCCACGGCTGCCAGATAATTTTCCGTATTTTTTGTTTACATTTACATTTGGTTTTCTAGAGAAAAGGATGAGAACAAGTTTGTGCTAGGGTAAAATTGGGAAGGAAAACGACAATACCGACTCTCAATAGCCCCTCCTACGTGTACAGTGCAGAGCTTTGTTACCGTATCTCAAATAATGGCTGATCTCGGGGGCAAAATCAAAGCAAATGGGAAAAGTGTGCAGTTGGTCCGAAACGAAAGTGTGACCTACGTAATGTCTGCTAACCTATGCATGTGGACTATTCCTATCGGTATATCCCTATTTTTCGTATAATTTTTCTAATTTTGTGTCGCCATACTCACTTAGGTATAAGGCCCATTGTCAAATTTCAACCCCAACCAGGAGTGTTAATCGCTTTTCAAAAGTGGGGGAACATACCTTGATCAAAACTGATGCGAGCGTGAAACGCGAAGCCCTTGAGGCGTGGGGTTCGGGGCCCGCTTTAATAAGGGCCCCGAAAAAAAATGGATTCTTGATGCTCTGTGGTGCGATCTGAGGCAATTTCTGACCACTTTAACAAATATGACTTGTTTTGATTTTTGGACTTAAAAGATTTGGTTTTTGGACCAAAAAGGTATTGATGAATGGGAATAAATATGTGTTCCGTCGGTATTAAACACTCTGTTTAAAACCGGTGCGAGTCTGGATGGGTAATAATTACCCGAGGCGAACCCATCCAGACTCACACCGGTTTTAAACAGAGTGTTATAATACCTCCGAAACACACATTTAATTCCCTTATTAAAAACTGTCCCGCGTCTGTTGTCATAACTTTTAACTCATGCCTGTGAAAATCTTTCAGTTACCTTACTATGCTGTAAAATAATCATAAGAGAGCGATTCGATAGTCATTGTATTCTCAGTGTACTCGTGCACGCACGTGCTCGGCTATAAAAAACCCTTTCGCGACTGGGCTTGGATTTGACGATTTGGACCTGGACTCAGTCGACTACATCACAGATTTTTTTTTTTAGCAATACATGTACAACGTACTCTTGAATTTGACGATAATCAGCCCCAGTTTAAAATGAAATTCAAATTTCGAGTTTTCAAATAAAACCAAAATGGAAAACTTATTAGGTGCACTATTTGTAATTTAATAGGTTAACAAAGCAATTGACTTGAGCAAGGTTTTTACCTGGTACTTCCGGATTGCCGTTCCAGTACTCTACTAACTGCATCCAGCCTCATGTTGGCGGTTTCTCATTTTGTCAGCGTCGTTAAAGGGGTTCCAGTCAGAAGCCACCGAACCCATGCATGTATGCGATGCACAGCCAGGGATGACGCCCCAAGTCATGATTCTAGTAACATTAGCATTCCTGCATACCTGGGATATAGCAAATGGGCATCACTCAGAGAGAGCCGTTATCTGCATCCAGCCGTATGTTGGCGGTTTCTCATTTTGTACATTTTGTACAACTTGATTCACGTTTGCTGTTTCCCAGGTTTGCAGCATTATATTATACACTCGATCAAAAAAAAAAAGTTCCCCCTCAATACTTTTTTGTCTTAAACTTATTAACTACTGGGCACATCTTGCTCAAACTACGACTGATCAGTACAGAATTCCTTAGCAATCCAGCCAAAACAGTGATAATGTGTACAAAATTATGCAATTTATGACAAATGGTACCGAACAAAGTTGCACTTTTGTATGCATGCTGTTTTCGGAAGCATGTGTCATAAATTGTATTAATTCGTACACAGTACTTATCAGTGTTTTGGGCCAAATAGAGAGTATGGCTGGATGAAGGAATTTCTGGGCTGATTAGTTGTTATTTGAGCGAGAGGTGCTCAGTAGTTTTGAGCTGGACAAAATGTATTGGAAGGGGGCCTTTTTTTGGTTGAGTGTAGCTAGCATCGTGACTTTCGGCGTGATCCCTGGCTACATGGCAAATACGGGTTTATGTCTTCTGATTAAGGCCCCTTGAACAAAGACATTGACAAACGAAGAACCCGCCATAAAACTGGACAGCTCAGTTGGTAGCGCACTGGAACGGCAATCCGAAGGTCGCAGGTTCAAACCCCCTCCATTCAAGTTTATTCTTTCTTCACCTTAAATTAAAACTTTCAGATTAATTTCGGCCAACAATAATTCAGGGTAATTTTAGATTAGACTGTTTTCCGCCCCCTTTCAGAGGCTAGAATCAGCCTACCCACTAGGTGGATTTGTTTGTACGCAAAAGCAACCAAATGCCTTTAGTCATAGGATTATAGACGATCACCTCCCCTCCCTCCCCCCCCCCCCCCCAAAAAAAGAGGAAATTATTGTTTTCCTGTTAGAATAAAACACAAATTGAAAATTAGAAAAATGTTGAAGAGCACAGACAGAATATCTAAAACACGTCTGTACGCTCTCATCTGGAAACACATTCTCACAAATTTGTCAGGATTTGTATATGTACATGTGGTGATGAGAGTCACAAACAATGCATGTAAAGAAAATCAATAGGGACCATTAGGAATGCTGCGGGTACGGGATAGTGATGGATACATACAATGTACATGTATGCGACTCGGGAAAAATAACTGGTTCCCTGTATACCACAATTTTGTAATTTTCATATAAACCTTTTTTTTTTTAAATGCACATTGCCTCAAGTGTGCCGGGTAAATTAGCCACGCAAAATAGTGATTTAACAAGCTACTTTTCTCGAACCACATACATGTATGTATTATATACCCGCACTATTTCTTATGGTCCAAATGATCCCTTATGATCTGTGGCAGTAGCGGGCTAAGTTTGGACATCATTCAACGCTTTGCAGTAGGGGCTTTGACCACCCCCGCCCCCACTTGTCCCGCTACTCCATAAATCAAGGAGTGCATTTCAAAAGCAAGCCGATTTGATACACGAAGTAAGCAAGTAACAGACCATTTTCCACTCAGATTGCTCATGTTATTAATTCATCCACTAATCAACTAAAAGAAAGCTTCCAGACTTTAGTATAGTCGGCTTGATATCACAGAATTGTATTCATTTTAATTTTGCTGAGCTATAAGCTTAGAGCTTGATTATTCATAATGTAACTCACTCTGATTGGTTACCTTACACCCGCTCAATGTAATCTGATCATTCTAATGACCTTTGACCTCCAAAACAATCAGGCGGGAAGTCTCCTTCTAATGATTTGTTTTATAACATCAGGTATTCTACTCAGACAAAAAAAATATTCAATAAAACGGGTACAATGTGTTAATTCTTCTTACATGTGTATTATATTAAGAGAAAAGAAAACGGTGCTTTAATTACCTACATGTATTCTAAATAGTAATTACAGGAAACAAAGGAACTCCTTCGGGAAGCGTATACCTAATAACAATTCACAGAACATGTAGTATCCTGCATTGGTCACAGCTTGTTTTTCTTTGTGGTTTCACTGTTCAGTATCTTAGGAAGTCAAGATGTGCTTCACTCTGAGAATGGTCATGCCAAATAATACAATCTGAATTGAATATTTCAAGAGACATGTTTCTGCCATCAAACCTGCTTAAAGTTTGCCAAGAAAAAAACAAATGTCCTCCAACAAAAAGATACACCAGATCATGATTATGGACACTCTGCTTATCAATGAGTTTAGGAAAGTACAGCATTGTTTGCAGCCACTACCAAGATTACACATCTTTGCTTTGATGACTTTTGTTTAAAAAAAAAACAGGACAGACACAATAAAATCACATCAAAGCAGAATGAACTTGCAATGAAGTCAACAACTGACAAAGTGCACAATAATTAATACTTGTAAACGACTATTGCCTTGATTCAAATAGGTGTAAACTGAGCACAGTTACAATGTACACCGACTTGAAGACAATAGCCGTCTACAATCCAGCTCTCCATACATTCACATCTAGATCCATGTCTTCTTCAACTACGGTCTATCTGGGACCTCTCTGATATGTTTTTCAAAACCGATTTCTTCCCACATACCATTGTTAGTTTTGACAAGACAAAACTTCTTGACAAGTAAACCTACATTATATTTATGTGCCTTTTAAACCCTTCACAGTAACCTTCAAGCAAGCAATAGAATGATTAGACCTTCTAGCATGATGTAACGAAACACCACACACGACCCATTTAATAGTAGCTAGTATTGCCTTGCAATCTTTAACATGGACCATGGCATGGACCATGGCATGGACCATGGCATGGACTATGTTGAGCGTAAGCCATTTCTGAGGGACCTATACTTTTTTTTCTCAATAATAGACAGTCCATAACATAGGGTACCAAAATATAGAAATAAACACAACACGACAGACCCCAAATGTCAACAGCAAGGGGACAAACTGCCACAAAGTATGATCAAGAATCCCCTCTGATCCATGAAATGCATGCAACTTGCGATAGTGTTTCCATTTTACACCGTCAATTATACCACCATACATTTTGTATACATGAATTTTAATTTCAATTTTTCTAGTCAATAAGGAGCAAACATGTACAATCAATAGTACACAAACAAAGTTGGTACATCAACCAAATAACAATCTGTAAACACAGCTTCAATTGTCCACTGAGCATGCAGTCAAAGGATCTCCTTACTTTTTGAAACTGTTCAAGTTTAGATGTCGGCATGATCCTATGTTTTTGTGTACACATTGAAAATAGGCAATCCAGCTTAATTAGATTGATACAACACCGAAGCACATATTATTATAGATACAAAGTAAAGACTTTTATCACTTTGACTGACACTCACTGTCAAACAACAAATCTTTAGTAACATCAAATTCTTTATGTGCAACTATCACAAACAGTGCTAGTATGGTGGCATATTTCCATGTGGGCCATGTCAGGTTGCTATGACTACTGATTGCACTTCATGAAGAGAGCTGGGTTGGAACTGTAAACATCACGCTGAATTCAAAATTAAAAAGTCATCATTAAAAATATGTTATCGATTAAAAACTGACAGTCTGGGAAACAAGCTTGAATTGGAAGGGAGGTAATAAATATATTAATGTCAACAAAAGATCTATTGGCCAAATTAATAACTAAAAAAAAAAGAAGATAGGCAGTGGTCCCATTAGTGTTTCCAAAACTGCACATGATGGGCTTAGATTGTCAAAAATAATAGAAGACGATCAGCATTCCTTCATCGCCACTCACTGTGTACAAGTTGATTGACTTTGCAATTATCCTCTTGAAGAAAACTTGATGAATTGTTCTTTCCAGTTTTGTCTGAAGTGAATCGTGCTTGATGTTTGACAGGCGAGATTTCATACAATGGCATTACCTAAACGAAACTCTTCCAAAAGTGATGGACACCAGTTTTCAGCAAAAGCTAGCTTTCCAAGGACCAAGGCAAATGAACGAGGTAGCTCATGATCTGGAAGTGAAGACTCATGGAGTTAGCAAAAATCCTTCCACCGTGGTGTTTTGAAAACACAAACTTGTCAGTTCTTTCACCATCGCTGCTACAGGTTTGGCTCTGCATATTCAGATGTACAAATCTTGTGGGTGCAAAGAGCACCGTACTTTGTGCAAGTGACAGCTCCAGCTGTCTAATTAAAAAACGCAAGTCTGAACATTTTTTACATCATTTTTCTCTTCGTCTGCTCTTCAGAGAATGAACGAGTCTTGAATATTTACTGGTGTTTACAACCGCAAGTGCAAGGAAGTCTGCATGTTTACATGTTGTCGTTCTCATCTGCGCATACAACTTCCTTTCATGTGCCTACTGAATTTGTCAATTGGCGTCCACTCAGGTTCGGCCAGTTTTTCCTTCAACAGCACAATCTCAACTTGTGTGATCCGTCCACTCCAAACCACAACTGAAAACAATCTGATGGTGGATAATTCTAGCAAGGCTCTTTCTCCAGCTTTTGAAGTCCGGAAAAATCCTGATTTATTCAAGTCTGATGTTTTGGGTTTATTTCTCCCAAGTGATGAAAACCTCACTAAGAGTTTCTTGAAGAAGCAAAAGCAAAGTAGTATTAAGCACAATTAAAGGTACTTTAGTAAATTACTCATTAAGTTTTTTTCAACATCCATCGAAGATATCCGTAAAGAGTAAATAATGTAAAACATGTCACCGCTATCCAGCAATAATTACGCAACACAGGGCTATACGACGACCACTCTTACATGTACATTCATCACTACTTCAGTTAAGTATGGTTCAAATTGTGTTCTTGTGTTTTCCTCGTAGTTCTGCAGTTTTTCATTTGTTGTTTTCCTTTAAATAATACTTGAACGGTGATGTCAGTTTTTCGAGAATGTTTGGGAGTTTCTTTTTCAATACGATACGACAAAAATACTAACAGTTTTTTAATTATCTTAACATCACAAGATGAAAACTACTTCTTGATCAACCCAAATGCTGCATTCTGCGGGCTGATTGATGACTTCACAATCTGAAGTTTCCTTGGGTCCTTTGGGCACGATCCTCAGTAAATACAAGTTTCAAAGGATTGTTTGGAGACTCAGAAGATTTGAGCACTCGAGGACACCACACTCCCCAGATCATGGTTAGTTCCTGTGCTGGTTCCTACGGTCTCGACCAGAAGGCTAAAAATAAGGGGGAAAAAGATTTAGCAAAAGTAGTGTTAAATGCTAAATGTCCAACATTGCCATTATAAATGTACATTACATTTCAATGTATGTTCACCAAGTAGTAATTGGAACATCCTGTAAAACCACATGGTGGTGAGCTTTTGCAGTGACAGATTTGAACATGTGATTGCCTGATAGAAGTCAGCAGGGGCATTTGTTCTTCTCAGGGTAATTAGTTTTACAAGCAAAGAAAAATGTTGACTGCAGCAGGAAAAATGTCTCAAAGCAAACCGTGAGTTTTGAAATGATTTAATTCTGGATGGCCTTCATTTACTACCAGCATTCAATTATTTGTCTGATATGATATAGGGTCCGTCGATTTATATATCCATATTACTCGATTACATTGTGATTTCAATATCGTCGATATCATTTTAAATCACATCGAAAAAACAAAAATCATTTGGAGAAAATGATACCGGAAAAAAAATCACCCGGCATGTCTCTGCTGACGCGTATGGAGCATGGTTGGACCAACGAAAAACAAACTTTGTGTCAAAAGAAGACAACGCAAGGATTGTTTGTTTTTTCTGTCTTAAAATACAAACACTAAAAAATAGTTCCCTTGAAGTGACAGGTACATGTAGATTTAAACTCATAATTTCAGTTAGTCACAACATCAATATCCATGTACACGTGTTTATCACAATGTCTACTTATCCGTGTTTCCGAAGGCATAGACATTCTGTCTGGCAATTCTTTCTTTTTTTCAGGATCTTCACACTTTTGTATGGCTCAAGAGTGTAGTTTAAGTTCAGCAATTATTTGAATGAAAATAATATGCAAGCATTTCAAAACTATTTTTGAAAAGGAAGAGGTGTTACAAAAGGAAAATATCGTTTTTGACGTGAGAAAGTTGTTAAGAGGCATATTCAGTAAGACAAATGGACATAAAGAATTTTTTTTACATGCGTTTTAAACTCTATTTTTTTTTTTTTACATACATGCATCAGCCCGATACACGTTTTTTACCCTGCCGGCAAGAAATATACTTGCAACGTGTGTTGTAAACTTTGATATATCAATTATCAGAAATTCTTATATCAATGGACCCTAATATGATATGTAGGTCATATCCATGAGGCATTCCACACACCTCTTTGGTGTTAGATAAACACAGTATGGGCAAGACTTTTTCTACCTCATTGACTCACTCAGATCTGATCATTTTGGACTTGCACAAACATCTCCACAAAATGTCTTGAGTAGTGGCAAACACTGTTTAACCCTAACTCCTGGGGCTCTTTTACTAAAAAGTATCCTGAATCCGCCGAAATCCCCCAAAACAGGGGGGTGGATTCAGGTACGTTAGGGTTAAATACTATAGTTTATGATATACATCAAATGTGCCTGCATGAAAACGAATGTATTGATACATTTTGTAAATGAGCACTTTTTTTTGTTCCAGAAAATTTCCCTACCAAGCTTCGAGTAACTAGTCCCATACAACTTGGCATGTTGTATTTGTTAGCACATGATAAATAAAAAACATGAAAGAAAGAAAAACAATCTTTGAATAGCTGTTGCTGTTTAATCTATTTTTTTAGCTGTTGCTGTTTAATCTATTTTTTAGTGTTATTTGACAAAGACAGAATGTAGCTATTGAAATCAGTTAAGACTGCAATTTACCTTACGAGCAGTATCTTCCTCTTGGCGCTTCTCGTAATGCCCAAAGTCATCAAAAATGGATGTAGTATGGCGGTATGCATGGATGATCTTGACCACCTGACGTCCCTTGTCCAGTGATACTTCCTGGGTATCACGAGAGTTTGTCACAGGCTTGTTGTCGTTGTTCTCCAGGCGAATGTGACGCAGCTGACTGTTAGGTACATCCTTGACATACACCCAGCGCACATCAAAGCGCCCCTTCCACTTATCTTGCATCCAGACACCCGTATTGACGTTGTAGTCCACCACCGACATCATCTCCGCCACGCCGCAGAAGTGTCCACTGCCGTTGACGCTGTACAGCAGGTAGATGGGTCCCTTGTTGGCGCGTTCACGGAATGCACTGTCTAGGCGTTTGTTACCATGCTCAGTGCTGCACCAGATGCCGTACTTGATGGAGCGATGAATGTCATCCTCTGAGTAACTCTTGATGATGAACATACGGGAGCTCTTGATGTCCAGAGTGAATGAGCTGGGATTATAGGTGTTTGCCGAGCGCAGTTTATCCAACACAGGGCTGGGTTGGCTACCCTGTTGGGCTGTAGCTCCACTGCCAGCTTGGCTTACTGCAATGGAACTCAGTCCAGAGGTCCCAATGGCGCTGCTGCTGTTGCCTCCACCACCGCTAGAACGAGAAGCATAGCTGTTAGAAGTTCCTTGATTGTTACCGGAACTCCAGCGCTGAATCGGCTGGTGTTGGTTGGCTTGGTTGCCACCGTGATTCCTCTGCTGTTGGGACTGCTGCTGTGCACGGTTCTGCTGCTGTTGTTGCTGTTGTTGCTGCTGCTGCTGCTGCTGTCCAGGATGTCCACTTTGATCTCCTTGAACATGTTCCTGGTGCTTAGTGGCCTGACCGCCCTGTCCTTGTCCCTGGGAGGGAGCTTGAGAATGGGCTGGCTGTTGGATCTGGGGCTGCACAGTAGATGTAGTTGAAGTGGATGATGGCTTAGCTCCTTGTTTATCATTACCGTTCCAGGTTCCAATGGTCATGGTTTGTTTCATGGGCGGGAGCTGAGTTGGCACAGGAGCATGGGATCCTGACTTGGTTTTCATTTTGGGCTGAGGCTTTGCTGGTTTGCTAGCAATAGCTGCCCAAGACTGAGGTTTAGGAGCAGCCACTGGAGCTGAGACAGGTGGTGGAGGAGCCTGTTGAGCCATAGATGTAGTGACTTGCTGACCACGTACCATGTCTTGGTCTGACCGGATACCGTGAGTGTTCTGTGTCATTACTCCAATACCAGTCTGCTTATCACCGGCCGCTCCAATATTCAATCCAGACATGCCCTGTTCAACTGCCTTCATACCATGAGCCTTTCCATCATGTCCATCCAGTCCATTAATGCCTTGATAGCCACGCTGGCCCCCTGGTGCCACCGGTTGCTGAGAGGCATTAGGGTAGCGGGCATAATCATAGTAAGAAGTTCCTTGTGCAGCTTGCTGGCTACGAGAAGTCACCTGCTGCTGTCCCTGTGGTCCTGGTGCAGAGTTGTTACCCCAGGACCCAGTCATGAAGTCAGCATTTCCTGGAAAGAAGTTCAACCCTTGATTCAAGTATGGCGGAGTAGTACCAGGCTGATTGTAGTAGTTCTCTGCGGCATAACTGTTGTCATAGCCATAGTTGAAGTTGTTGAAGTCCCCTCCTGTGGACCAGGTAGTCTCGCTGCCAGGCATGGAGTATTGGAAGGAATATGACGGGTAGTAACTCGGCATATAGTCCTGTGTAGGTGCCATATTGGGAGCCGTGTACCCCTGAGATGATTGGAATCCACAGAAGAGGTGAACATGGAAGAAAAAAACACACAATTATTAATGTAATTGTCACCAAACAAAACAATTGACATGAAATGCAAAAATGTATAGCCACTTGCTATGCATAAGTTGGGTTATTTGATGTACATGTCAATGTTTGAAGGAAAATAGATTTACTCTTCAAAGATTTACTTAACCAAATATGACTAAAAGCTATTGGAATCATCATACCAGTGACATGGATTTAACTAAAATACTGCATTATCCTCCAATATTATTGTTGATCAATCAATGTTGTTGGACTTTCCTCAATTAAATGAATGTTTTTAGAAGTTGAAAAATATCTCAAATGCAAGTCTGGAATACATGTCAGTATGTAATCAAGTAGCTTCTTGAAGTATGTCTACTTTGTCCAGATGTTCTCCAATCAAGCCTGTTCGGTATGACGATATTTCACGATATTTCGATTAAATTTTCATATCGGAAATCGTATCGATCTCATAAAAAAAAATCGGCACATCGTGAAATTCGATATGTCGAAAAATATCGCGATATTCTTTTGAGGTACCGCTTTTGTAACCAAAGTCAATCCCTTAAGGCTTGAAACTGTCGCTAAAGCGCTCCCATGAAAAACCGCTAACCACAAATTCACTGTTACGGCATTGTACTGCGAGGTCTTCCCTATTCAGGGGCGGAACCACCTGACTATTTTGCGTCTTCCACGCACGCTGCACGTGGCAGTACAAACACCCAGTTTCACCCCACATACCAAGTGCCAAAATCGTAATCACGTGCGTGGAGTTAACCGAAGGGAAACAAAGTCTCTGACATTTTGCAAAGAAAATACGGTGCCTGTTTTGTTCTGACGGAAATGTGAAGTTGTACAGACAAAACACCACAAATACATGTACTTGAATTGTAGATTACGATGTTGAGAAGTGATGTTTCGTTTCGGCACGCGGCCAGAGGAGACCACGCCGTGCCCGCAAATTTTCTCTTTCCAGCCCAAATGACATCCGCATACGCATGTTAAGCGCCCTCTACGATACTTTTATGACACGGGGACACTATATTCATTAGTTTTCCAACTTTGAAGCGAGCAGTGTGACAGCTCAGTCGATAGTACATTGGATTTAGAACCGCGAGGTCGCGGGTTCGAATCACGGTAGTGCATGTTATATTTTTTATTTTCTAACCTAAGGCTTGGGAGGATTTTTTTAACCTAAGGCTTGGGAGGATTTTTTTAAAAAGGGAATTAAAGCCCGAATTTCATATATTTATATTTGTGATTTTCTTCTCATGTTTTTAGAAAAGTATAGTCCAAAACGCCATAGAGTATTTGCGGATATCGTTAGGGAGAGAAAAAATCGCTGCTGGGCTGGGCCGACTCCGCGTAGGCGAACTAGATCAAATTTTCCTGCACGTATTTTCCTGACTCGTTCCTTCTCTTCCGTGGTTGTGCCTGGGCACTTACAATGTACACTTGCTTAGTGCCAAAACTGTCCCAAACTTATGAAATCTGTTCATATTTTTAGCAACAAAAAACATCGAAAACCAACTGTTCAGTCGTGCCTTTTATTTCGTTCACAGAGCAGAAAATGCGTCACAAGAAATTGGACTGATCCATTAATTTTTGTAAAGGGGTGCTTCACCCTCATTTTGGAGTTAACATCGTTTTTCGAAATAAATCTTTAGAAAAAAAATTTTTTGTTAGTTTGTAACGATGAAGAACTTTTTCTGAACCAGGAAATATTTCGGACTCCATTAAAAAAAATATTTGTAATTCTGAAAAAGTGGAAATACTGGTAAATTGTTTTCAAGGAAGCACACCCTTGACTGCAAATGGTGTGGGCTGTACACGGTCTGCACGTGGGGATCAGTGCGGCGTGCATTGCGTGCTAGTGCTTCGTTCTTTCCTCGATATGGATTTCTATTTGCACATTTTTATCCAACATTTCAAGGTAATTTTGTTTTCGATATTTGAATGTGGAATTTGTTTTCTACCTAAATTGGCAAAGTAAATGAGACTCTAGTCAAATAAAATTGACGATTTTGTTCAGGACATATTGGGTTTTTTTCGCGGCAGTGGATCGTGACTTCGGTCGTGTGTTTTTTTTGTTTTTGTTTTTTTTGTTATTCCATTGTTCCACGAATGGAAAAATGACGTCATCACGATAATATCGCGATATCCGATATTTTTTTCACGATTTGCCGATTTAAAAATAAATGGATATCGAACAGGCTTATCTCCAATGTACACATATTTGCTGTGTACATGTGTAACCAAGTAAGTACCTCCAATAATAATAATAATAATAATAATACTATAAAAACAATATAAAAAAATAACAACAATTATCAAAAACCAGACTTAACAACTCTTCTTTTTTTTGCAAAGTTACCGGAAACACAACACTTAATATGATTATTTAGGCCAAGAAAGAAAACAGGTCTGCTTCCAATTACAATGTACATGCCTTTCAAAAATAGGGTCGGTGGGTTGGAAAATGTATTTATTTTACCCAATTTTTTGTGCGAATTACATGCGAATTTTGGCCTGAACTATTTTCATTTCCGCTATGAATTGGAGGATTTTGCAGGATTGAGGCTACATCCTAGTAAAAAGGCCTAGGGAGTTAGGGTTTAAGTTTTTTTCAAGGGTCATATTTTTGTTCAACTTGCCGACAAAAACTTAACGGTCTGGCCCTAAAATAGGGTAGGTCGGGTAACCTGAAGCAGAATTTGGGGCCTTATTTTTGGCCTTCAAATACAACCATTTAATGTTTTTGTCAAATTGCCACCAAGTCTTACATGTAAGTGGAAATAACACGTTGAATAATAAACTCAATGTTATTCAAGTCCATTTTCCAATGTACATGTACTGTATCGAATGGCAAGTAGTGATAGTATAAGGCTAACCAGTTACTTGTACCCATTTTTTTCGTGATGGTTTCTTTTTTTTCATCCAGTACAGGACAAGCACGTACATGTCTGTGCCAGCCGACATGTTTCAATTGATCTACATCTACGGTGTATGTGCTCATTATAACACAATGTTAGATTGTACTAATGAGCGCAGTAACCTTTTCTAATAACCTTCCATTCAGAATATTTTAAAGATTTCTTCTTTTTATAATTTTCTGCAGTTGAGTAAAGCTGTTTTTGCATGAAACTATTGTTACTTCATGTGGATGAAAAACTTATAATGTAAATGTAATGGATACAAGGGGAGAAGTGTCCAACGAGAAGAGGGCCAGCAATGCAGGCCACACAGAAAATATGATGGTACTTTGTTGTTAGTGCTTTGTTAAACAGCTTTCAAGTATTTTGATTTTGGATGATTTAGGGTCTACCTACACACCTGATTGGCTTGATTCGTCTGCATGTATCGTTCAAAGTCTTCATCAGAGACACCGTCTTTAGGGTTCACTGGACCATTTTGAACTGCAAAATAATTGTCATAATATGAAGACATTATTTTCTGATTCCACCACTACTGATTCCAAATGCACAATAAAAACACACACGCCTGAAACCCACTATTTCAAGTATCTGTGCTTGTTTAAAGAATTGGAAAAAATGTAGTATCCAGGCGCCACTTCAGCAGTTGTACACAAAATCTATGGAGATTCAAGAAAATCTTCAACAAATCAAAGTATTTTTTAACAGAATTGGAAATGTTTCTCAGTCCCAGAATCATGTCTTTTCAACATTTTTGCATGACTGACCTTCATTGAGATGATATATGATGGAAAAAAATAGTGGCATCAGGATTTAACATTCTTTCCACAAAGAATGGCCAAAGATTTATTTTGTTATGGCCAACAATCATCTTTTTAGAGTACATTTACAACTAAACAGCAAAATTGTAACACTGTGTAGCCTCTGTAGCCTCTGTACATGGAAATAGAATTGAAATACTGAATTGCCTCCATATCCTGAACACAACTGCGTCCGGCTGAAAAATATGTAGAGAATTTGATGACTAAACAGTATTTATGGTGAAAGAAGCAGGAAAGATTTCCTGGCATACCCCCAAAATAAAACTGACTAGGAACTAGAACAAGTAACAACCCTGAATTCTACATTTATTTCAGAATTGTATAAACATTAAAGGCCAATGAAAGAAAAAAACTGTGTAGAAATGTTTTTATGGTGGTTGTATCAGATCAAGTAGACCAAAAATACTTCTGATCCACGCAACCCTCTCTCAGTTCACAATTAAGCGAGGTTTGCGGAACCTGTAAAAAAAAATCTGAATAAAATGCAATATTCTTCCCCCTCTTTGGAAATCGAATGGTTTCATGTTTAGCATGAAACAATTTGATCTCCAAAGATGGGGAAGAACATTGCATTTTAGGAGTAATTGCAGAATACCCCGCTTCAACGATCACCCCCTAAAATTCAATGGCTACGCAGTCAAAGGAGCTTGAAAAAAGTCTTTAAGTCTAAAGTAATTCCCGGATACAGAGTGGGATGGAATCGGGGAGAGGCGAAAGAGGGCGCTTTTTCCCTTTAAAGAGTGGGAAGTGCATGCGTTTGTGGGTGAGCAGTAAAGCGTGAGCAGTAAAGCCGGCTAGAGTTGGGATTATTAGATAGATGAGAGGCGGGTATTATGGGAAAGAATGTCACATCCGGACACCACTTTTTTCAATATATATTATCTCAATGAAGGTTAGTCATTGCAAAAATGTTGAAAAGACATGAATTTGGGACTGAGAAACATTTCGGAGCAATTGCAGAATACCCCGCCACTCGGAAATACACCCCTAAAATCTCTGGCTATGCGGTTGGAATCACTGGAAAAGAAAAAATTCAAGTCCATTGCCAGCTACGCGGATACTGAGTGGGGGTCCATTATTTGAGAACGATGCTACACAAAATGAATGGGAGTTGCTGAAAAATTCTAAGTCCAAACCAACCACCCTGTTGCCGGCTACGCGGATACGGAGCGGGAGTCCCCTTGAATATGCTTGAGAACGAAGCAACACAAAAGAAATGGGAGTTGCTGAAAAAATTCCAAGTCCAAACCAACTACCCTGTTGGCGGCTACGCGGATATGGAGAGGGATAGACCCGTGAACGTGGCTTGTAAACTACGCCACGCTGTTGTCTATTTTCGAACCTGGCGAACGTGTCCCTCTGACTCCCTGCGTTACACACACTGGACGTTATTTTGCCCATGTAATAAGTACTCACATATGAAGCTGTCTTGAATTATATTTGTACGTCAAAACTTGCATTTGACGAAAATTGAGGAAAATTCTGGCCCCGGTTCATGTCGCACGTGCGCCCGCGTGTGTGTGCACACACGTAGGCCTACTGTACACGAGATGAGCCGAGCAGCCAATCGTCTGCGGGTTTTTTTTTTCGGGGTTGCGACATGAAACAGCCGTCAATCTGTCCAAGCGACTCAGACGCGTCCGGGGTTATTTGTCAGGGTCAGGTTAAAATCTAATTTCTACACGTTCGTATGGGTCTTTACTGATGGGCAAATTTCGTCGAAATTACACAGCCGAAACAATCGGACGGGCAAATTTAGATTTCTAGGTGAGTACTCAACACCCATACGGAATTATGTATGTCGGATCGATTTCGCCAGGTTCGAAATGAAACAAGAACGTGGCGTTGTATACAACGTCCACGTTCACGGGTCTAGGAGAGGGAGTGCAGTGGAGCATGACGCATAGTGCATACAAGTAGCGCTGAGAAGGTTTATTGAGGGCAATCAACCGTGACTCCGTAGCCGGCTACGAGGTGGATAGATTGAGTGGCGGGGTATTCTGCAATTGTGCCAACATTTCCAACTTTATTAGAAAATACTTGTACACAACCACAGAAGTGGCGTCAGAATACTTCTTTCCGCATTCTGCAATTGTGCCCCCCGTTCCCCAAAACTGAACTATAGTCCGTTACAGTACTAACTTCATTCATGCATTTTCATGCTGCAAACAAGTCTATCAAGTATCATCAAGTCAACAAAATGTCATGAATGTTGTTACAATTTCCTACTGAATTTAGGCCTAGGCCTAGGGCCTAGGCTACATAAATTTATTTCTTACCTTGAGCCCTTTGCGATTTCGGCTTCTGTAAACACCGAAGATGATCCATGAAAAAAAAAGCGGGGAAAGAAAAGGAAGGGAAAGAGACACGTTAAAAATTCAATAATTGTTTAAACTGCACAAGTCCGAAGATGGCGGAAGTGGTTGTGTGGCGCGGTGAACATGCACAGTACCGTACATGTACATGCAGTGCCGCATATTTCAAGGTTGAGTTGACAACGACCAACGCATTAGAAAAGACAGTGAAGAAACGCGACACTAACCTGGTCGACTCCAGCAGACATTGCCCGATTTAGTCCCGAATGTATTCAAGTCAAACTTTACAAAGGCCAATTGATGGCAGTTCAGATGTCCCAGCACGGGATAGGATTCAGTCTGTCGCTTGAAGTGCCGTACAAAGTCGGCAAAATGTCCACAAAATTTGGATTGGTCGCAAGTAGAATGTGGTGAAATTCGCTTTCCTCGCGGACAATGGCGGTGCTGCACATGCGCCAAGATCAGCCTCGGTACCGCGCTCAACACGCTCCCACGTGACATGCACACGTCAGCAACTTTGGAATGTATAATTAACTGGTACTCGGTTATGTTTCATTTTCGCGCTATGGACAAAATGTACGGCACCAGTGAAAATTTCCCCAGCAATCAATTACCTCACCACTTTGCGCGTATATTTTTATCCAAATCACGACAATTCTTATTTTAAAAAGTTTTTCCAAGAATTCTGTTTTGGGTTTCGAAGTGAGTACAGAGAAAACGAGTCAAGTTATTATATTAAAGGGAATGTACAACATTGGCTTTTGCTGCAATTTTCAGAAATAAGTGCATTTGGAGGATTTTTGTTATTGGTTGAGTTCAATTTGGTGATTGATCTATTTGTGGGGTGTTGCCACCCCCCCCCCTTTTTTTTTCTTTTTCTTCCTCCAGGGCGCGGACACGCCAACTTTAACTTTGGTTCATTGGAGCATTGTGGTTGTAGTCAACTCCCTAACTTATTGACATCTTATCTTCATTGCCCTCGGACTTCACTAGTCAACGTTGTATGTTGGTCCATGTTTTTCGTTATTAAGTTTGATTGTTGTTTGATGTATTATGCCTATTAAATTTCCCTGTAGTGTTTGCTGTAACCCCGTGAAAAACAACCAAAATAGTATTTATTGTGATTGTTGTACTCTTTGGACTCACCTGAAATGTACTAGTCTCGATCTTATTGATCACTTTAATTTAGCCCAGGATGATGGAAACCTTATTTAACCAACTTACTAATGCAAATAAACACTGTTTTATTACCGGTGACTTTAATTTAAATTTACTTAGTTCAGACAATAGTAGAAAACCGCAAGAATTTCTGGATATAATTTACTTTTCTTCTTACTTACCATTTATCCACAAACCCACTAGGGTAACAACCACATCTGCCACACTCATTGACAACATCTTTTCAAACATCTTACCCCAACCAAAATCTGGAATTATTATCACTGATCTGTCTGATCATTTTCCAATATTTACATCTTTTCCATTTAAACTAAAACGCTTTAACCCCCAGGATATAACGACTCGTGATTATTCAAGTGGTATTGCCGACCACTTTAACAATTACTTCACAAATATCGGGAAAAACCTTTATAGTGTAATTAATTCTAGTGGCCTGAACTTTACTGATTACTTATCAAATCCAAACTCTAACTCTATTTTTTTTTATCTCCTGTTACAGAAGAAGAAATAGTTGATATTGTAAGTAATTTGCCCAACAAAACAAGTGCCGGCTTTGATCTAATTAGCAGTACATTGATTAAACAAGTGATTCTGGCAATCTCCTGTCCTCTGACCTTCATTATCAACTTTTCTATTTCAACTGGTGTTGTGCCTGAGAAAATGAAGATTGCCAGAATCACTCCCATTTTTAAAAGTGGCAATCCCACAATGGCAAGTAATTATCGACCAATTTCAGTTCTTTCTTCATTTTCTAAGATTATAGAACGTGTTGTTTATAAACGTACCATAGAATTCTTTGACAAACACTGTATAATTTCGGATAATCAATATGGATTTCGAGCACAACATTCCACTACACATGCTATTATTAAATTAATTGACAAAATAACAACTGGTTTAGTCGCATCCTTTGCTACTATTGGTATCTTCCTGGACCTGTCCAAAGCCTTCGACACAGTTGATCATGACATCCTTTTATCTAAACTGGAACATTATGGAATCAGAGGAGTTGCCTTGGACTGGTTCAGGAGTTATCTTTCTAACTGTCAGCAATTTGTATCTATCAGTGGAACCCAGTCTACTTATTGTGAAATATCTTGTGGAGTCCCACAGGGTTCTATTTTGGGTCCCCTTTTATTCTCTATATACATTAATGATTTTGATAAATCCTCAGATGTATTTTCTTTTATTCCTTTTGCTGATGACAGTAATTTATTCTATAGCCACAATGATGTAAATGTACTTTTTGATACGACTAATTATGAGTTGAAAAAAGTATCTGCCTGGATCAAAGCAAACAAGTTGTCTCTTAATATTAAAAAAAAACTAACTATATGTTATTCAGTAATAGGAAGTACTGTCAGCCGTTTCCAATCCGTATTGATGATACTAATATTATAAAAACTGATTGTTTAAAGTTCCTAGGTTTGTATATTGATGACACTCTTTCTTGGAACAAACATATTAATCACATTTCTACTGTTATTTCTAGAAACATAGGTATTATATCCAAGCTAAAATGTACTTTTCCCCAGGATATCTTAATAATGTTGTATAATACCCTTATTGTACCTTATATTACATATGGAATACTTGCATGGGGCAATAGTGGTACTGGTCAAATTAATAGAATCCTCAAATTACAGAAAAAAGTATTACGTATCATTAACAACGTTGACTTTCATGAGCATAGTAATCCACTTTTTTATAATTGCAATACTCTAAAAGTTCATGACATTTACTCTCTTCAGCTGGGCTCCTTCATGCATCAACTTAACACTAACAATTTACCCAATTCGATTTGTTCTACGTTTTCAAAAAATTATGATACGTACCTTTATTTTACAAGACAGTTCAATGAATTTCATCGGTCTCACGCACGTACTGCAATCTCTAGGGCAACTGTAAAGCATGAGGGTCCCAAGCTGTGGAGCTCGGTTGATCTTTCCCTAAAAAATATCTCCAGTCTCTCGCTCTTTAAGCACAAATACAAAAATAAATTATTGGAAAAATATTTAAGTACTTAATTGTTTCTTTTTTTTCACGGGGTTGTAGCTGCATGTTATTCCCATATTCATGTCGGGTGTTATGTCCTTATGTGTTGTCTGAGTGTGTAACTTTTTTTGTATGATTGTAACTGGGGATCTCTACTCGACAAGCATTGCTTTTTAGGGATCCCCATCCACATATTTTGTATACATTTAACTCTGATCGTCTTTTTTTTATGTGGAAAATAAAGTGAATTGAATTGAATTGAATATATGTTTTAGCAAATATTGTTAAACTGACTTGTTTCACGTTTTTGGCTTGTACGTAGATGCTGGGAAAAACCAAGAAAACCAATTATATTCTTGTAGTCTGGTTCCCTGACCCCACTTAAGATGAAATGGAGCAATTTATAGACTTTGGGGAATTGTGCGGTCAGAGTGTCAATTTAGCTGGCTTGTACCCATTCACAGGTGAGTAATCAATTGCAAAGAAGATGTGGAATAACTAAATATTAAGAAATTTGGAGTAGTTTTTGAAAATAGCCAGTTTTCTCCAGCGCTGGTCGGCCGACCAGCGTTGGAAAAATACAATTTTTCTTGAAAATGTCAGCACACCAGGAGCCACAATTTTACAGGATGCACTGTCATTCCCTAACAATCCAGTAAGGTATTTCGTGAAAAGTGGATCATTTCGTTTTTTGATGTTTGCAAATGTTGTATCTTCCCTTTAAAGTTCAACATATTTTCCGAAGCAAAGTACAAACTGTTTTTCTTAAAATCCACTACAAGCCTATAGGCATTCTTGGGCACAAAAGTTATCGCCAAAATGACTACTTTAGCTAATTATGACTAATTGCCTACCTCTAAGACTATAACCTGTTAGTCCGATTGACTAATACTTAGTCAAAAATCAGGGTGCAATGACTATAAGTCACACTTTCAATCTGCCAGCCTATCTTCTCAAAGAAGCAGCTGAAGAACTTGCGCCTATTTTGTGCCAACTGTTAAATGCCAGTCTTCACCAACTTGAAGGAAAAATCCCACATGCATGGATGATCGGTGGATGTGACTCCAAACTCCAATCTTCAAAAGAGACCTGAAAACTATACCGTCTGATCACTCACATCCAGTGGCGTATGCAGGATTTTTTCAAGGGGGGTGTTTCAAAATTGGATGTCGTCATTTATGACGCTAGAAATGAAGATGGTAAATTGTGTTGGCGCCAGAAATAAAAAATAGTATCAGTGGGCTAAACTTTACGCTAAAATAAAAGTCAGGAGTTTGTGTTGGCGCCAGAAATAAAAGAGGGTATATTTGGATGGGTTAAACTCGAAGGGCCGGGAACCCACGACCATCAGTTATCCTTTTGAGCTAAAGCATAGTAAATCGGGAAAAAAAATGTTCTGTGTCTTTAGAGTATGATGAACATATGAGTAAAGGGGTCAATGTGGGCAGTCCCCTCCCTCAACGGCATTTAAACCAAAAAAAAGAGAAGAAATTCAAGAAAAAAAGTGACACGGGCTGCGGAAGTGCTAGGATCTGTTCTTGTTATTGGCTAAAATCACTCAGCTTCGTCCCCTGGATCTCATGATTCTCATCCGTTGGGAATCTTTGTGTAAACCGCCCCACCCCTAAGGCCAAACTTCAGATACAGGATACATATGCGCTCTGGTCACAGGAGCGGATTCAGACTGCCATTTGCCGGGGGCCTAGAATTATTGTAATGAAGGGTCCAGGACCTGCGAAGCCCTTACGGCGTGGGGTCCGGGGCCCGCTTAAGGGCCCCGGGAAAAAAAATGGATTTTAGATGCTCTGTGGTGCAATCTGAGGCGATTCCTGGCCACTTCCACCGTTTAGAAAACGTTTTAAACATCGAAAATTCCATTTAAATTTGTTATTTTTTTTTTTTTTTTTTAAAGTTTGTTACGTACTCAAAGTTGAGAACCATGTTCCATCTCCGTATTTTTTCACAATTTTCTATTTTGGAAAGGGATTTATGCCACTTGTAGAGCCATTCGCTGCTGAAGGTACAAAATGGTGGGGGCACCGCTAGGGTGAAATTATAGCATAGAGGGAATTTGAATCCCGGGACATACCGTTATTTCGTTTTACCGTTTTGGATTTCCTAAAAAACAAAAACAGTAAACGAATCATCGACTGTTTTGTCGTTTTACAGTGTTATAAAACGACAAGCGGTATTAAGATAAATACGGTTTCTCCGTTTTATAAGTTTAGTAAAATTCATTATAGCATAACGATCAATGATTTTTGTTTTACAGATTACACAAATACAGACTGTTTTTTTTTCATTCCAGTGTCATGGTT